GGGCGATAAAGAAAAAGATACCTGCACTGTTGTCGATTTTGTATTACATGTTAATTCATTAATAAATGTATTCCTTGTTATTCGTTTGTTTATTCTACTTGATAAGACCGAAAATTAGCCCTTGCGTAATATGTGAAGTGTAGAGTATATGAGGCTATCTTTGAAATACTAAGTAGGAGCAGATATTTGGAAAAGCCTATTGGTAAAAGATTATGTCGTAGTCAAATAAAGTAAATATGCCTAAACCGTAGAAGAACTCTTGCGATTATAAAGCGTTTCGAGTTATATATCGTCATAGCAGAATACGTAAACTGACTCGCGATTCATAGTCACAAAGTGAGAGTAAATCTACCTGAGATAGTTTGCTTGTGATTTCTGCATGTCGCAATGCACCATAAGGAGAGACTATACCTATGCTGTTAGATGTATAACTCAGTGCAACTACAGTTATCGTAATAATTAAAAACAGAATGCCTAGGGTTCTCAGCCAAAGAACACGACACGTTGCTATCTGCTCATATAATCACGTAAACAAAAGTCTTCCAGACGCCGCATTTACTCCTAACAGTTTACCCTCAACTTCTAACTTAGCACGTGTTACTTATGTTACTGGAACACAATCGCATTACAACAGAAGGAAGACAGATTCATTGAAAAATTGTTTATTAAACAAAAATCAGATTTCAAATGTACAGATAATTCAGATGAGTAGTCCTCTGTTACCGTCAGTAAGTTCCATCTGAGAACACGGCACATATATGTTTTTCCATAAGTCTGAAAAGGTTTAAGAAAAGCATAATTAACTTGGGTATTACATGTGTGATCTGAATAAAAAATTTCCTGATAAGCATTTAGAAGTAATCACTTTACAAACAATATATATATATATATATAAGTAGCCCAATAGTTTTCACTAAACTTAAGGGACTTTGCAACCTATCGTTGGTCGATGTCCAGTAGGTCCATTGAAGCATCATGAAATGATAAAATTATCTAACAACAAGTTATGCAGTAGTTTTCAAAGATGTACAAATATTTTAGCAAAAATGACAACCACTTTATGACAAATAATAGGTCTTGACAGCAATAATAATGACAATCATGTTCATAGTGACTATAAAAACAAAAATAGGTAGTATTATCGCAACGAATTCATCATTAACTTAGATAGACAACTAACAATAATACAATCATATCAAATAAATGTATCACTTAATCTTAAGAAGCATGTGTTTACTTACTTTCACTGTATTCTCTCAATACTGATGTGCTCAACCAGCTTATTCCAACTGAATTCAAGATTAATTCTGAAAGTGAGTGAAGATCCAGCTTATGTCAAATAAAAACATGTAACTTACATGTATTACACTGCTTACTGAGACATCTGATACCTGCTTTCCGATCTTCGTGACAAGAACACAGTTTATCTAGGTTTACCTACATATAAATGAGTATATGTATATGCTGCATCAACCATGCCGTTTTTATCATGATTAGCCAGACCACTGTGTATATCATACTTATTTAAGGATCTCTGAAAATAATGGTCAAGCGATAATTGAAGTTGCGTGAAGTTATTACCTCTTCAGAACATTGTTTGCATTCTTCACATCCCTAAGAAGTCCTTAGATCTTAATTTGGCATGAATTCGTTGAATTCAGCAAATAAATCCACTGGTATATCATTTCTCTCCTGAGCTGTAATAGTTTGTGTTGTCAGTTATCTCTCAAATTTGATAAAACGATCCCGGAAATTCAGAACTTAACCAAGCAGCAAAATGATGTTTGAAATTACCTCAACTAGAATGACAAACTGGCCAATCACGAGCGAGCGAATCGCTTGTTTATCTCATTCGCGGTCACTCAAAATTACGGCCGTCTACAGGCTGCCACTAACTGCCGATCAGAGAATGACCGCGGACGCACCACTCACATGATGGAGGATTTCGCAATTATAGAATACATATATATGAAAAAAATACATAATACTGTTACATAGGATACCTTTCTCTCACATGTGATAAAAACATAACCTAGTTTAACATAGTGTGGTAAGAGCAAGTAGTTGCCAAATTTGTAAGCATTAATTTACGTCAACTTTTAGGTCCCAAATATTGGTTGTGAGAAAATATGAAAACAAGGACTGATTCAACAGCTAACCACAGCACACTTTGTGTAGGTGGATTCATTTAACATATAGACGATCTGACATTCAAGAAACAGTCACAAAGAGATGCAAGCTTAACTTTCTGTGAGAAAGAACCAATCAGGAGACTGTTTTTCTGCTGACAATAATCCATAATAATGTACATGAAATCTATAATTATGTGTTGATTTCTCAAATAAACGATCTGTTTCCTGGCTCTTATCTTCTGCTGTTACAACAGGAGTATCTACTGAAAAGACACACCACATCCCATGCATATATTAATCCAGATGACCACGGATGATACCCTTTTGAGATCCAATGACAGCCCTAATCCTGCTTCTTAAGCTGCTTCAAAAGCCTGTTACAGAATTGGTGTGGGTCCCTATCATGGGATGCATAAAATCATTAGAGTGGTTAAATCTGTTGAATATATCCAAAGAATGACAGGGATTTGAAAGCTTTCCACTCATCAGTGTGTATTATAGATCCCCGTCCCTCATTTCGAGTGATAATAGGCATTAAGTCAGTTAAATTCCTGTTTGCTATCCTCTCGAAGAATCCTATCTGTGGAGAGGTGTCAAATAAATCGATCACCCAAACATTGTTAGCGCGTTCTCGACCTCAGATGTATTTTTTAAATAATGAGACAGCCTCATCCATGCGCACGAAGGCACCTTCTCCTCACGATAGCACAGTAACACTATCCACTTTCCATGACGCGATATCTGTGCACTGATGGTACCGGTTAACTGTTGTCGCAAGACTATTTTCAGTTTCAGAAGCTGCACCTCTCACAGATTGATTTAAAACCCAGTAATTACCAATGTACAAAATCTGGGTCGAGGACCACTGGGACCTGACAAAAAATGTTCTTACGAAATATTAGAATCATCAGCTCACCTCTTCTAGCACTAACTCGTCTCAAACAAATGTTACAACGATGGACTCACATCAACTGACCAACTGAAGCCTTTTATGCTTCATGAGCAAGTCCTTTCCTTCCTGATCAACCCCGGATCCAAGCAACACTGGAAAACCTTATCCCCATCAATGCAACGCAACTGCGTTAGAGCAGGTACTTGACTCGAGTCAAGCAGAATAGAAGCTTCAACTCAATGGACCATTCTAGGTCATTCATTGACTGGCAGTTAGTGATGCTCGATGTTTAACTTGGCCTACAAGGCTTACAAAGAGTTAAAAGGGAGTCCATTTCAGGGTCAACTATTTATCTGCATCTCATCCATCCACTAGCTGATTAACTGTCTGTCGTCCCCCTCAGTGTAGTATCCAAAGACTTTCTCTTTCCTGTAACTCTGATGTTTTTCCTCTGTTCTAAAGGATTATGGGTTGACAGAAATCTATAAGTAGTCAGCGTATATATTCTAGACATTATTGTTACTTCTTATTTCCTGATTATGGCAACGCATTGGTTCAGGGCTCTGTGAACATAACACTGGAAGTCGCAACAGTGGATCGAAAGTGTTGCACCAGGGATAAGTAGTTTATATTGAGTAATAATATTTGAGTAAACCTCAACACCGTAGGTGGACCAGAACTTTGAGTAGATAAGGAAGATTTCTGTGTAACCACAATTCAGCTGACTCTACTCTTGCGGCGAATGTTTGCAAAAGGTTGTGAAGGTGGTCAATTTTTAGTTTGTTTAGTGAACGTGGAAATGCCACCCAAAAAAACTTTAGATCGCATATGGAAACCTTCCAAAGAAATTGACTTTCTAAGACTGCATAAATCTTAGGTTGAGTTTGGTTACTGGATTGCAAACTGGACTTTATTAGCACCTTCTAGGTGATGATTTTATTTATTTTTTTTCGATTACAGCTTGATTCCACACTGTATTTTTGGTACAAGTATGGAATTTTCAGCATGGATATAGGAAGCCCAAATTTTGCAGACCGACCATAGATATCAGGTGTGCCTATCATTCCCTCAACGAGAGACTTTCGCAAGTCGAATAAAGCAGGTGTGGCTAGACATAAAGTTACCGTAATAAGCGGCGTGGGTGTCGAAGGCATGGAAGTAATCTGTGACGTCTATTTTCGCGTTTCGTTGGCCCCTACACCCATTTACCATTTACAGGTTCAAATAGTCACTTAACACAAGTGAAAATCAGGATTTAAGAACGCCCTTAATTTCTGTTGCCATTAGGTAGGTATTACGTGAGTTGTGTTCTTCTAGGGCAGTTTTACTTCCGACAGAATATGGCTGTGGGCAATTTTTCGGTTTTAGGGATTTGAGGTCATATTGTACATCTGAAATCATCTCCGGCAATCTCCGACTTGTTGCTATACGTCTAGTTTCAGAGTTCAGATTATCATGTGGTTAAAATGCTATGCATATATTTGTTCTTTACATTTTTTAAATTATATATTTTCGGAAGTGAGAAGCTGTACTCATATAGCTATTGAGTACTGGTTCTCACACCTAGTCATATACTCTTGAAACCAACTCCTAGAAGAAGTGGTGTCTGCAACCTCAACTGATTCATTGAAGAAGGGTTTGGAAAATAACAGAAATTTACCAGAAAACTATAAACATAGGCTTCGAGCCTTCTATCCTCAACCAGTAAATATGAATATGAATCTAATTATAGACAATTGTCAACGACTGGCTAAGTCCTTGTATGCGGTGAGAAAGTTTGTTTGCAAGGAGCCTATGTATGCAAAAGTATCTCCTTTTTTTTTATTTGTGGCTCCAAGGATGGGTTCATTTTAAAGTATCTGTAAATCTTTCTTTATAGAGTTAATTTGTTTTAACATTTGAATCTCATAACCAAGAAAGTAAATGTACTCTTGGAGCGTGATTCATAATTGTAGCAAAAAAGATGTAATTGAAATATGGTTGAGAAAGTAGATGAAAATGACGTGGTTGTCACAATCGGAGTATGTGCCATGGCTAAAAAAGCCATGTCAAAGCCAATGAAGGAGATTTTGCGAAGGATGGACAAGTTTCAGCATATTCAGATAATAATTTTTGAAGAGAAAGTGATCCTTGATTCTCCTATCGAATGTTGGCCCATATGTGACGCTCTTGTTAGCTTTTATTCTGAAGGATTTCCCCTTGAGAAGGCAATAGCCTACTCGAAACTTCGGAAACCATACCTTGTCAATGATTTGGAATCGCAATATATCTTAATGGATCGAAGACGTGTGTATGAGTGTTTAACCAGAGAAGGTGTTCCAGTTCCAAGATATGCTTTCGTCGACAGAACAGTAGAAAACCCTGCAAAGGTCGTCGAGCTTGATGATTCTGTCGAGGTAATTATTTGTATTGGTTGACAATTTAAGAATGGAACTTATAATCTTTGTGTGTTGCAACTGCTTGACCTGAATTCGAAGACATCTTTTCTAATACCAATTAGGCTACCGAATATTATGTATATGTACGGCTGGTTTTACTGTCATCTAGTCTTGAATCAAGCTGGTATAGTTTGTTTTCGGGATTCATTCTGTACAAATGAGAAAAAACAAAGAGGTGTGATAGAGCATTTTTCTAAACTTCAGCAGATTTCCTTTATCTCAGTTGTGATTTTGAAACTATTAACTGTCCTGTAGATCTAAAACATACATTTGAAAATCCAAGATTAACTTCATCCAAAGTTTCATACATTCGTCAGCTCATTTAAGTACCAAAAATCTGGCACACGCAAAACACAGTCTCTTACTTATTCGAAAACCTAATGGGCTTACATACTATTGATCATTAGGGTTTCTGTCTGTGTTTATGAATGTCAGTCACACTTATGTCTGGGACTCATTAAATGTGGTCACATCCATTATTTCTTTGCATTGTTCCACATGAATACTGTCACTTTGCACACAGGTTGTGATGATTTCTGTTTGAGAGAGTTATTTCTGTGTGGTTTTACTAGTGCGAAAACTGAAAGTGTAAGAGACATATCTTCATTATGTTTATGCTTTTGTAGTAAATTGGAATGGAACTTTCTATACCCGCCCACAGTTTCCTAGAGGAGTATGCATGATACCACTATCTACCACTATTTATTTGAACTTGCCGAATGTTATCACTTACCGACTCATTTTCAAGTTGTTGGAAAATGAATTTGTTAAAGACCTAAAACTCATAGAATTAGTGTCGCGCAACTGCGGAGCCCAAAGAAAAACTGCCTGAAGCATTCAGCTTCGGATTATGAGGATAGAAAGCTCTTGTTGCCTATGCCAATCCTTGCGATATATATCTGCAGACATCTGGTTTCTCTTTGAAAGCGTTCACCGATGGAGTTGTTACTATTGAGTCAGGTAAGGAGTCGTTGACCACTCTGAGAGTATCTAAATTCCACACCTATTTTGCTTGACATCACTTCGAGCACCTTCTTGTTACTACCTCGTAAATGTATCCTGGAGGGAGAGAAAAGGTTTGAAAGGTCGATCCCTAAATCACCCTTGAATATACGGTACGCCAAAATTAAGTCGCATCTCTTCCTTCGTAATGATAATGGGAAGAGATTTAAATGCTCCATCATCTTATAATAATAATAATTTGCTTTATTCCAAAACAGTACTTGTGATACAGAATGGAATTCTCAGCATTTTACTACAGTATTGCATCCAGTTAGTACGTTGAAAATAAATAAAATTCTGCATAGATTAAGGGTAATCTCAGTTATGATAACAACATATTGGTATGTCGGTAGCAAAGCCAAAAATTGAACAGTGTTTGAAGGTGTTAGCAAAGTAGATGCTGGCGTATTTACTGGCATAAACGGTAACAAAATGGTCTAGATATACAGAGTGTGAAAGAACGAAGACAAATGTTTTAAATAGAGTTTGTAAGGAAGAAAGAAACGAAGCAGCACAAAGCAGAGAGAGAGGGAAAAAAAAAGGAAAAGAGAGAAAAAACGTAACTATAATTGATATGAGTTGGAAAGACGAGATCCAGTTGTTCTACTGACTATTTAATAAGTTATAGGTATCGGGCCTGATGCTTTCTCTATTGCACAGAACACGAGCTAGGTAGGGTATAGTTGAGTTTTTGTACTCCGTAGTGCGAGCATATAATTTCCTATATAGGCTTCTGGTCTGGTCTGGCCTGATGAAATACAAGGGGAGAGTTGTGAATGAAGAGGGTGGTGTGAGTTAGATAAAATGGATTGAGCCCATTTTTCACATGAGTCCAAGTGCCTGTTAAACAGAACATTAACAAGCTGGTTAAGTGGCACGTTGCTTACCCTGCTGACAACCTTTATCATCGTGCGTAATAAGGTATAGTCTTTCTTCAGTAGCCGGCCCAGGAAAAACTAAGGGGAACAGTAGAGTATAATAGGCAGGATGCAAGAGTTAACAAATCGTAAGAGTAAGGTTTGGGTTATTCCAGAATATCTTAACTTCTTAATGTACAAAGTAAGACGGAATATTTTCTCAGAAATCATCAAGATATGAGACGTTCAGGAAAGATCAGCAGATAGGATGACTCCAAGATATTTAATTTCCGATTTGGTCTCTATTTCAGTGCCATTTATGTTGCACACCTCGTGAGTGCTAACCAGTTTGTTTAGGTCAGATTTGTGTCCAAAGGTGAAACTGACTGTTTGGTATTTGGAGTAATTTAAGGTTAGGCCGTTTTATTTGGACCACTGGCTGACTTCTGATAAAAAGCCACTTAGTTTGGAGCAGTCACTTTGACATTTGACAGGCAAAGATACAGTCAGGTCGTCAGCATATTTAACAAAGGTAATGTCATTTGGAAATGTTAATGTCATACGGAAGGTGAGGAATCACTAACTAATTCGGTTTCCACCCTCAGGACTCTTTGCAGGATATGTGCCCCTTTTTTGAAGCATGGACTCACTGCTTGTATGCAGTATTCTAGACGAGGTCTGACATATGTTGCATAGAGTACTTGGAACATACCCTCATCTATTTTTTATTTTTTTTTGATTGCAGCTTGATTCCATATTGTATTTTTGGTACAAGTATGGAATTTTCAGCATGAATGTCGGTAGCCCAAAGTTTGCAGGCCGACCATAGATATCAGGTGTGCGTCGGCAGGGGATCGAACCTCGGACCATGTGCATGGTCGGCGAGAGTCCTAACCACTGTGCCACCGACGCATCTAATCGTTTGAAAGCCCTTCGAAGTGCACATAGCATTCGAAAAGCTTTACCTGTGGCTTCATTATAATTTGCCGTTGTTTTTAAGTCATAGCTTACAATAATTCCTAAGTCCTTTTATCCTTTGATATCTGGCAGTTCTGTCCTCCAAGGAGTGCGATGTGTAATACCTATGACCTGGGTGCATTACCGCGCTTTTCTTGGAATTAATTTCCAGACTCCAAAGGTTAACCCATTCGGCTGATTTAGTTAGATCGTTTTGTAGTACCAACCTGTCATCGTTATTACTTATGGTTTACTTTATCTTAATATTGTCCACAAATAAGAGGGAAGACGATGTAAGAATTTTCGGCAGTTCATTTACGTATAATAGGAATAGCAGGGGGTTAAGTACAGTTCCATGAGGCACTCCACTTAGTACTTCTTTTTACCCTGATATCACACCATTAACCCTTACCCTTTGCCTTCTATCCATCAGGTAGTCGCTAAAGCACTCACACACGTTACAGACGGCCTGCTTTGGAGTTGTGTCCGTACTGAGACACTAAAAAAATTAGGAGTACGATTACGATGAGAATAAAGATGTGAAGTGAAGTGGAATGAATTCAAGTGGCAAAATAAAATAAAAACTAGAAAGAACATTACTATGACCAAGGTAAAGAAAGGGGTTTGACAAAACGTTTTTGAACACATAATTTAGGTTTCTGTTCATTTATAGCTAAAGCTTCGGCTATGCATAAGTGAAGAAAACGTAAACTTTTGGATCGATTCGATTGTGCCATGTAGATAACTTTGAAGGATGAGTCACGTGGGGCTAAATGACTAGACTCTAACAGGTGATCACAAATAGTTCTACGTTCTCCTTTCATTTGCCAGACTGGATAGTGTTCAGCTACACGTTTTCGGAGAGTACGCTTACAACGTCCAATGTAATCAGCTCCACAAGAGCAGGTAAAAGAGTAAATGCACAGTGCGGCTGAATCCCTATGTTCCTCTGGGAACTAAAGGAAACAATAATAATAAGTATGCTTGATATAAGTATAAAACATGGGATCTATGGTAGAGCTTACAACTTTATATGATTATGAGCAATAGTTTGTGCTCGAAACGTCATCAGTTAATATTAATGTACAACACTGTGTGATATATCAAAATAAAATCTTATCCATAATGGAATAAGTATGCTTATGTATGTAAACAAAAAATATGAAGTTTAGGCATGTGACAAGAATTTTTCGCATATTTTTGGTATTTTTTATAAAGCCTTTTGTATTTTCCTGTCTGTCAATAATTTCAGTTAGTTGTGTTATCACTTCAAGTTTAAGGAATCGTTCCCGTTGTTCTTAAAATATTGTGCTCTCAGTAATTTATTTCTATTCTACAGCTTTAATTCCCTGTACATAATCGCAAATTTCCCTTATTGCCTCAATTTTCTGTTACCAGTAGTCGTAATTGGTCTTTGTAGCTAAGGTAGGTATACCACTTGAAAATTCCAAAATGGAAAATAAATGTTTTTCGTGTAAATAAAAATCAAGTTTATCTTTAATTTTAACATTATAAATTATATGCACCTTCTGTTTTGTAGATTAATGGAGAGGTTTTCCACAAACCGTTTGTTGAGAAACCTTTGGATGCAGAAGACCATAATGTGTATATATACTTTCCTAGTAGTGCTGGAGGTGGCAGTCAGCGGCTGTTTAGGAAGGTAGGAAACCGCAGCAGCAAGTACTTCTCACATAGCAACATACGGACCAATGGATCGTATATGTATGAGGAATTTATGCCAACAGATGGTACTGATGTAAAGGTTCGTTCGCCCTTTTGAAGATGTTATGCAATGCATGTTTGGTAATTTAACTATTCGGACCTGTCGGTTTCTTTAACCCTGTGAATTCTTGTCGGGGGTGCGAGTTTCATAGAAATAATGGATTATTTCACAAGTCTTAATAATTCCTAGTTGAAATAATTAGTCACAACCTCACTTTTGTCCGTTTAATAATTATATATACGTTTATATATTTCTTTCACCGAATAAATGAAAAATGGAAATTGTGCACGCACTTGCACATGCTTTTGGGGCACCATTATAGGAAATTTATTAAAATGCATTACCACTTGGTCAAAAATGCACCGGAATGTCTGAAGATTTAGTGCTAAAACTAAATTATTTTCAAACATCATATACATACATATCGTTGTGGATATCTCTCAACGCGGTCATTTTGATAAAAAAATACCTTATACCCTAGTTGTATAGATGCATTGTAAAAGTATATGTTACTTCGTACCAAAAACGTTCACTTTACCATTGCCATCTTGACTTTACTGCTTGTTTCTACTCAGGTCTACACAGTTGCAGATGATTACGCCCATGCGGAGGCTCGGAAATCTCCTGCTTTGGACGGGAAAGTGGAAAGGGACCATGAGGGCAAAGAAGTTCGTTATCCCGTGATATTGACACCGAGAGAGAAAATCATCGCTAAGAAAGTGGCAAAAGCTGTACGACAACAGATCTGTGGATTTGATTTGCTTCGGGCTAATGGCATGTCTTACGTCTGTGATGTAAACGGATTTTCTTTTGTAAAGTCTTCTAAGAAGTATTATGATGACTGCAGTCATATCCTAGGCGTACTTATCACACGGAAGATAGCCCCTCGTTTGTGTCTCCCAGCTAACTTACCTCCAGGTACAGATGTTGACACACCATTGGTGCCAACAACGTGTGGAACGATAATGGAACTTCGGTGTGTGATCGCAGTCATTCGTCACGGAGACAGAACACCAAAGCAGAAAATGAAAATGGAAGTTTGGCATGAAAAGTTTTTCTCCTTCTTTACTAAATATGCTGGCGGTTGGGCTCATGAACTAAAAATTAAACGTCCAACTCAATTGCAAGAGGTCTTGGACATCGTGCGATCAATTTTAGATGAGATTGATTCTGGTAAATGTAGTGATAATCGTCTTCTGAGGATCAAACCGAAATTTGAACAGCTAAAGTGAGTTTTTTTTCTTTCTTAGTTGAAGTTTAATTATTCTGAATCGAAGTAGTACAGATTAGCTTTGCGTTTATGGCTTTAAAAATGTTGGACGGAGGTTGTGTAAAGATACACGTACTAGATATCTTGCCATGAATTTTTATTACAGTTTAAGCGGTCGAACTAGTTCTCTATTAGCGTGATACGGAAGAAGTATCGTTGTCATTCGTTTAGTTTTAGCTTGGTAGACTATATGCTGAGATTGTGGCTCGTATCCGATTTCATCAGCATCCTCGTGACGATTCAAGGAACAAGTTTACCTGATACCCTCTGCAATACATGAAAGTCCGACTGCCGCTTAATACCTCACCATGAGTCACTTTATGCTACGTAAGAGTATAGAGCAACTACTGTTAAGTCTATAATGAACTAGATGGAAAGTGGATCTACACGTCTTATTTGGATGGTCACTTCGAAGCAGCATGATTATCGGTGATACTTAAGTATGAGTTTAGTAGGCAAGAACTTGCTAATTATTTCTGTGCACGAGGTTTATAAGTGTTAATTTACATACATTTATGGGTTGTCCTTTTGGAGTTGGAAATAATTTTTTCTGAGCGTAGATGAAGAGATTCACTGATACAAAATTCAGAAAACTTTCAGCACTTCGTTCTTTCTGAGGATCCGCTTGAAACGAATTTGAAGCAGTCAGCTGCACTGAGGACTCCGACTACTATTTCTTAGTGTCACTGAATGAGTTGCTGTTATATTTTTGTAGTAAATGAATGTCACCAACCTATTTTTATTTGATCTAATGTAGGGGATAACTACCGGTGGTTCATGCTTGTCTGATATACTTGTTGCAATCATTGGGTGGAAACTAGAAAGTTCTTTCACTGAAGGATGACTTCAAACTAACTTAGCTATTACTATTGGAGTTTACGCATTGACGTATAATTCTTCACCCTTTTGGTAACAAAATACTATCAGTTTCTGATATCATAAAACACAAATTGTTGCTGGTTGTGTACGAATTTAGAAACATTGCACCTGCTGCATTTTCAAATAAAATTATTAGCAGCCACCACTTGTTGATAGGCTGTCATTTTTACGCTATATCACATGGTCTATGAAGATAGTGTATTTATTTCCAGTCGTATAACCACTAAGTTGAAGTACTTGGATAGGTGACTGCCCATGATTCATACTGATTGTTCGATTCATCCCAATTTCACAATGGTTGTTATCAAACAGCATCTGCACGGTTGCTTAGCTGATTGAATGGTATCTATGTTACAATAAAACAAACTACCACTTACTTGTGGAATTTGATAAAGACTATGTCAATATGAAGTATCCATTAGTTTGAGTCAGTGAAGGATAATGTAAAACTGATTCGACAAGTCACGAATTCCTACCTGTTAGTAGTGTAAGACTAAATATTCGTCTACTACGACACGTTTGACAGTATCTGTCAATTCTAAAAGGAGCTGGTGTTCTGGTGCTTTTTTTACTCAAGCCAGTGAAAAGTGCCGAATAAGGAGGCAGCTAAACATGGATTACACTTGTTCTCACAACCATAGTGAGTGATGATACAGTGATTGATTTAACAGTTAATTAACACACAGTGTTATAGAGTAATATCAACTGTTCATATTACTCTATAACACTGTGTTGTGATTTATCTAATACATAATGGACTTATACTCTACCACAGGCACAAGTTTTATAGTTATATCAATAACTTTTAATTAGTACTCTATAATTGGCAGCAGCACTACTGACTCAGAAGTACTGAAAAAGTCAAATAATCACATATATATATAACATTACTGGCACATCTTACAAACCTAGAAAAAGTTATTTTATGTTTTACTACCAAAAACTAGCAGAGGTGATATTTCATCCCATGAGTAATTGTTATTGCTTCTATTTCTAATTTTCTTCATTAGATACGTTTTAGAAATGTATGGGTCGTTTAGTGGAATTAATCGCAAAATTCAGTTAAAATACCAACCACTTGGAATTGGCAAAGGTTCAAAGATCGGTTACTCAAGTAAGTCAATCAATCAATCATTCATTCAATGCTCAGTTTGACATTTATAACGGGACAGTCAATTCGTTGATATATCCCTTAATACTTGGTATTTATTTGGGTAATTCTATCTGAAGACTCTGCTTTAGTACTTGACTTTTACCTGGTGGATCTTGACTGCAAATCTGGCTTCACCTACTGTAGTTTGGGTGACTGGGTAGTACTCACTCAGTAAATGTAACTCACAGCCTTGTACATGAAAATTTGTTCTGAGTAACTCAGTTTTAACCAACTACTGCTCCATTACTCACTTTTCAAGCTGCAAACTATTTGGAATAATGAACATCATTAACTCTTTAGGAATTAAGTGGAACTGCTTAATTATCAGTAGTTTTCCAGGGTAGTTTTCAAACAATAACTGTTTTTACGAGTTGATCACGGGTTGATATCAGTTAGAGAACCATTGAAACCAGGGAGTACCGGACAGCTGATGTTTCATCCTAGTTTGGGAACCATCGGCAGTACGCAACCACTGGGATTCGAACCCAGGATCTTCCGGTTACAAAACAAGCTCGTATACCATTCAGCCACTGGGACCCGATTCAGTGGCTCACGAATTCTAACTTCTACCAATTCGTGATTTAGCGCGACCCCAACCATTGTCGTTGGTGGGACATCCATCTTCACACATGACATCTGGATGGACCTCACTGGTCACGACATCTCACTAGAACTCAGGAAACACCAACCTGATCAACTCGTAAAACCATAACAAACTTTTAGTGTGGATGGATGTCCCACCAACGACAATGGTTGTAGTCGCGCTAAATCATGAACTGGTAGAAGTTAGAATTCTTTAGCCATTGAATCTGGTCCCAGTGGCTGAATGGTATACGAGCTTGTTTTGTAACCGGAAGATCCTGGGTTCGAATCCCAGTGGTTGCGTACTGCCGATGTTCCCAAACTAGGATGAAACAGCATCTGTCCAGTACTTCCTGGTTTCAATGGTTCTCTAACTGATATCAATCCGTGATCAACTCGTAAAGCCATAACAAACCCTTACAAACCAAACTATAGAAAATAACTGTTTTAACAAGTTAAAACTTCGGTTCGTTTTACAATTTCTTTTCTGAGAGTCATTTTTGTAAATTAATTAATTTTGACGTGACGCAAAATAAACTTTTATTGTATCTACGTGGTTGTAATTTCTTAGAACTAAAGTTGTCTTCTTGATTGATCATATGGCTCGACTTACTTATACTCTATATCAACACATTTTAGATAGTGCTCCATTGTATTCTATTTAGCTCACTAAGCTAGGTAAGACAGTATAATCAATGGCTGGAGACAATAGGTAACATGGCTCAAAATCGTTGTCAATGTCGCAGATGTATTTAGTCTCTGTAATCTTTCATATTTCTTTCTACCATTACCCATTCTGTTTCACTCTTATACTTGTCAAACTCTATTGATTCTCTTCACTCATCTTCTTGTCTACCTTTGTGTGCTTTTTGGAACGTGGCAACTCGAACTGCTGCACTTCGGTGCCAAGTTCTATGTTGAATCCAGACAGACAGTATAAGCTGTACCACTATTCCCTGTGATTTTTTTATCCCTTTACGTTCCCAGTGGAGCATAGGGCTTCAAGCGAGGGGCTTGAAGTTTCGGTAGCAGTGGTGTTAATTTTTACGGGATGGGGTTGCTAGCCTCATGCCCAACCTTCCCTCTTTACCAGTCTTAATACTGGCTTAGTTAGGTAGAGGAGTGAGTCTGCCGGGGATCCAACCCCGGACCACATGTGTGGTCGGCGAGCATGCCCTATGATGACACCTTATGACAGCGATGATGTGATTGATTATCACTAAAATAGTTTAGACTCTAAAACGTTTGTGAATACTTACCATGTCCACTTAGGCTGAAACTTCGCGTGGCATGCTAAACATTGACTGTTGCTTTTCAACGATTAAAACATAGAATAAGCATCATTTTCATGTGAAAGGTAAGCGTATAAAGTTGAACATAAAGTAAAACTATAAAGTAAATATTTCAGAGAAGCAACTTTGATACATTCTGTGTGACTCAGTAAAATCTCTTTCTACACAAGAAATTCGATTGAAGACCGTAAGCTACACGTTTTAAATTCTATAGTTTGGTACATGTACTGTACTGTTTTCCATCCTATTCTGTTTTGTGTCATTTTTGATTTTGTTCCCCTTGTCATTACTACTCTCATTGTTCAGTTATTACTTTCCTGTTTGAAATGTTGTGAATACGACGCATCTATTACTCATGTACTTTAGTGACCGGAATAAATTATTCCATCTATTTAATAAATTTATTTCTTCAGAAAATCTTTAGCCTTCTTCTAGTTTCCTTTTTCCTATGAACTTTAAATTTCAGAATATAGCTAGTTGCACTTTTATTTATTTTACAAATTTTGTAATTCATATCTTCAGGTGGTGTATGTGAATCTGTTATTTTTAAGAAAGGTTTTCTTATGATTTAAAAATGTGATTTAGAATGTGCTATAAGAAGATATTTTAAAAAATAGCATTATGGGTACGTATGGTATAATTTCATGTAGAAAAATAAAAGGTGTGGACAGCGCCAAAGCAATACAGTCAGTAGATCTTTAGGACGACAGAATCCTTTCTGCGTATATATATATATATATATATATATATATGGCTGTGAGACCTGGCCATTGAGAGTAGAAGACGTGAAATGATTAGCTGTCTTTGATCATAGGTGCTTGCGCTCTATCTCTCGTGTGAAGTAGTATGATAAGGTGAGTAATATTGAGGTTAGGCATCGGTCCAGTGCTAAGTAAGGAGGGAAGTGAAATCAATAGACGAGGAGGCTGTGAAGTTACATCGACTGAGATGGTTAGGACATGTGTTACGTATACCTAGTCATCGTCTTCCTCGACGGCCAATGTTAGCTGATATAGGACCAGGCTGGAAAAGAGTTAGCGGCGGTCAAACCAAAACATAGCACCAGTCAATGAAATCCACATCAGTTAGTCTAAGTCGCGTAGGAAGGTGTGGACTTCCGGGTTGGGGTCCTCAGGACGGTAAAAATCAATGGTTGGAAACAATTGGTGATATGGCTCGAAATCGTCGTTGTCAATAGTGCAGATGCATCCACACCCTGTGACATATGATTTCCAATGAAACTGTTTAGTTCTTCGTTATTACTATTCCTTTGTCTCACACCTCTGTTCACTGTCTCTATTATGCATTTCTTCTACTTTCTTTTGTTGCTTTGTGTGCTATATGGAGTGTGGCGACTTGAACTGCCACACATCGGTGCAAAGTTATATATATATATATATATATATATATATATATATATATATGTACATATATGAGGTAAGAGCGAAATATAGAACTGTTAGTCTTCAACTGTCGCTCTATGTTTCTAGCCATTGCTTCTCAAAATCTCAAGGACTAAGCCGACAGTCTACATCTTATATACTGACTCGTCCCAACATTGGAAAGACTGATCCGATGCTCTACAATCTGTATTTATTTTGTCCTGATTTAATCACATATTGCATCTGAACTATATCGTATTCGTATTTCCAGTTGCATATTATTCGATTGCCCTAAATGTACTTCACTTCCGCAAAAATATATCTATCTTTCTTAAAAGAGTTGAATTCTATGCCGATGAATCAGTAAAAATTTTAACTACACCATTTTTTCATGCGTTACATTAATCTTTACCTATGCTATCCTCAATTGTCGATAAGTAAATTGTTGCACTAAGTTAGTTTTGGTTTTTTGGTTGCATAACTTCATGTTGTAAACAATAGTTGTGTTATGCTAGTGTAATAAGTAGGGTCGTCTTCATGAATGAATCACAAAAAGTCACTGCTTAATAATTTGAAAAAATCGGATCTCAGAGTGGCAGTGACTGAATGTTCAGAAACTACTTTCAGTTTTTTTAACTCCCTAGACGTATTATAGGGCACGGAGTCTTGGGTATCTAAATATGCGTACGATTCATGTTCCATAGACTAATGATATGAAAAACTTATATGTGTACATGAAATGCATGTGGTTTTGTTTCATTACTTTTCCTTAAACTAGTGGTAGTTAAAACTTGTCACCAGTTCTCTCAGTAATATTTTAAGGTTTTCACCTTACTTTTTTTCAGGTAGTGCCTTGACACCATATGATGGGGCTGATGGTTCAGATAATACCCAACCGACTTTGTTGGTTGTTGCAAAATGGGGTGGAGAACTAACAGCTGCGGGAAAACAGCAAGCAGAAACTCTGGGGAAAGCATTTCGTTGTATTTACCCTGGTGGGGATGGTCATTATGGCAAAGACCCTGGCCTTGGATTATTGCGATTGCACAGTACGTATCGTCATGATTTGAAGATATATGCATCTGATGAAGGTCGAGTTCAAATGACAGCAGCAGCTTTCACTAAAGGTTTCTTGGCACTAGAAGGTGAACTACCACCGATACTCGTTCAAATGGTCAAATCAGCTAATACTAATGGTCTTTTAGACAATGATAATGATTGTCGTCATTATCAACAAATGGTAAAACGTCGCATAAACGAAGTGATGTCAAAAGACAGTGATTTCACGGCTGAAGATATTGCTGCTCTTGTGCCTACCGGTGCACGTTCCATTGTTAATGCAATGCACTATGTTGACAATCCATATAGAGCTTGTGAAAGATTATTCGAACATGTCCGTTTGTTATCTAATCGTCTCGCTTGGCTCTCTGGGAGTCCTAAAGAAAGGAGTCGAATACATTTATATCAAGGTGAAAGCTGGGACTTGCTACTAAGACGATGGGGAAGTTGTTGAAAGATTTTCGGTCTCCTGAGGGTGAATATGATCTCTCGAAAATTTCTGACATTTACGACAACATAAAATATGATCTTCAGCACAATCCAGGTATTTTATTGGAGTCCGAAGTACAAGATTTTTTCATGTGTGCGAAGTCACTAGCTGATATCATTGTTCCACAGGTAGGCTGACACGCATGTATTAAAAATAAAATGTATTTTATTCACAAATATGCTATGGAAAGGAAGTGATTTCAAATAGGCACATTTTATTTTATTTTCGTTTTGAGATTCTATAGTTAGTGATTAATTTCTGACTTTGAGGGAGAAATGAAAGAAGTGAGCATAAACAGAAGTCATCCAATCAACAAATCAATGGGAATTTACATAGTGCCACAGTCCCAAGTTTTATAAGTATATTAATAATAATAATTTGCTTTATTCCAAAACAGTACTTGTGATACAGAATGGAATTCTCAGCATTTTACTACAGTATTGCATCCAGTTAGTACGTTGAAAATAAATAAAATTCTGCATAGATTAAGGGTAATCTCAGTTATGATAACAACATATTGGTATGTCGGTAGCAAAGCCAAAAATTGAACAGTGTTTGAAGGTGTTAGCAAAGTAGATGCTGGCGTATTTACTGGCATAAACGGTAACAAAATGGTCTAGATATACAGAGTGTGAAAGAACGAAGACAAATGTTTTAAATAGAGTTTGTAAGGAAGAAAGAAACGAAGCAGCACAAAGCAGAGAGAGAGGGAAAAAAAAAAGGAAAAGAGAGAAAAAACGTAACTATAATTGATATGAGTTGGAAAGACGAGATCCAGTTGTTCTACTGACTATTTAATAAGTTATAGGTATCGGGCCTGATACTTGAGCAGCAATCTTCGTATGTTTGGCATGCGATTCGCCCCTGCAAAATGTAAGATGCTGCTACAGGACTGGACGACGTCAACCCCTAACTTAGTGATAGGGAGTGAAGTGATAGAACATGTTGACCACTTCACCTACTTGGGAAGTTGTATTAGCACCAGCGGACTGATTGGCGACGAAATCTCAGCACGGATCCGAAAAGCTCGAGCTGCTTTCGCTGACTTACACCATCTCTGGCGTAGGCGTGACATCCGGTTATCAACCAAGGGACGTGTGTACTGCTCATCAGTTCGCTCCGTCCTTGTCTATGGCTCTGAAACATGGCCAATACGCGTTGAAGACATGAAAAGGTTGACTGCTTTCGATCATAGATGTCTGCGATCTCTGTCTCACGTTAGGTGGTTTCACAAGATAAGTAATGTTGACGTTAGGCGTAGAGTGTTGGGCAAAGAGGGAAAATCAATCGACGAGGTTATAAAGTTACATAGACTAAGATGGCTAGGTCACGTGGTGCGCATGCCTAACCACCGCCTCCCCCGACGGGCATTGTTAGCTGATATAGGTTCAGGTTGGAAAAGAGCCAGTGGTGGCCAAACAAAAACATGGCATCAATCCATGAAATCCTTGACAGTTAAACTGAGTCAGGTAGGGAGATGCAGACTCCCGGGTTGGGGCCCTCGGGACTCTAGGAATCAATGGCTGGAGACAATAGGTGACATGGCTCAAAATCGTTGTCAATGGCGCAGATGTATTCAATCTCTGTAATCTTTCATATTCCTTTCTACCATTACCCATTCTGTTTCACTCTTATATTTGTCAAACTCTATTAATTCTCTTCACTCATCTTCTTGTCTACCTCTGTGTGCTATTTGGAAGATGGCAACTCGAACTGCTGCATTTCGGTGCCAAGTTCTATGTTGAATCCAGACAGACAGACTTTCTCTATCGCACAGAACACGAGCTAGGTAGGGTATAGTTGAGTTTTTGTACTCCGTAGTGCGAGCATATAATTTCCTATATAGGCTTCTGGTCTGGTCTGGCCTGATGAGATACAAGGGGAGAGTTGTGAATGAAGAGGGTGGTGTGAGTTAGATAAAATGGATTGAGCCCATTTTTTCACATGAGTCCAAGTGCCTGTTAAACAGAACATTAACAAGCTAGTTAAGTGGCGCGTTGCTTACCCTGCTGACAACCTTTATCATCGTGCGTAATAAGGTATAGTCTTTCTTCAGTAGCCGGCCCAGGAAAAACTAAGGGGAACAGTAGAGTATAATAGGCAGGATGCAAGAGTTAACAAATCGTAAGAGTAAGGTTTGGGTTATTCCAGAATGTCCTAATCTCTCGATCAGATAGAATGACTCCAATATATTTGATTTCCAACTTGGTTTCTATTTCAGTGCCATCTATGTTGCACACCTCGTGAGTGCTAACCAGTTTGTTTAGGTCAGATTTGTGTCCAAAGGTGAAATTGACTGTTTGGCATTTAGAGGGATCAGTTGAAGCTGTCAAGCCAACTGGATAAAGTAATCTTGAATGTCATATTGTATCTATCATGTTTATCTATAGATATCGATGCTCATTTGTTGGCACAGTTCTGTATGCCATGCAAATATGACTTGTCGTCATATTATATGTTAATCTTACATGGAAAGAGGCTTCAACTGACTCTCATTTATCATTTTTCTCGATAAGGTTTCACATCTGAGTAGTATATCTAGGTAAATTGGTAGGTACACCTATATAAACAAGTACTTTGGTTGAGAAATTGTCTTTCTCTATCACTTAAGGTGGTTTAGCATTGACAAGAATGCTTTCCTCTCTTTAGTTTAGTAATCATTAGAGAAGTATTTACGTTAGTTAGTGCTCATGGCTCCTTGTTTCTTTTTACAGGAGTATGGTATAACCAAGGAAGAGAAACTTGTAATTGGTCAACGTATTTGTACTCCACTTATGCGAAAAATTCTTTCAGATGCACGTTATACGGACGTCGATGAATGTACACGATTGCATGCTGGGTGAGTGCTGTGTTTCTGTTTTCTGTCATCCCCCACGAAGAATTCTGTCATTATATATAATCTGTGTACACTTTTCCTTTTTCACCATGGAGATAAATGAATGTGGCGGCTGACTTCTCCACACAACACAATTCTACATTTGTACTACTTTGCAGTGTGTTTGAAAATAGGTTACACGCCTAGGCCCAATATTCACACGATATTGGTGCACAGATTTTCATATCTACCAAAAAGTTTATGTTATTGTGTGTGGTATATTTTAAAAATTTGTACTTTGTAATTTATGGATAACAATGACCTACAGAGTGTAGTTTGCAGTTTTTTTAATGCATGCTGTTTTTTTTCAAAGTATATGATTGCAAAACTGAAAATAATTACTTGTATAGTGCTGTAATATTTGCTTATGTTATGAATACCTAAAATATTTTGCCAGAAAGCATTTTGATTGGCAGTATTAGAGAAGTGAGTTTTGTGATTTAACCACTACTAGACCATCGGTCACGTATTCAAGGGGGTGGGGTGGGGGGGGAATTAAATGAATTTGAGATGTAATCATGACAAGAAAGGTGAAATGAGGTGATCAGAATGTTTGAAAACAGATTACGTCTCTAAAACTGGGATAATTTAATACTCAAAACACTCACTTCGTTTCTCTTCAGTGCTCACAATAAAATGTCACGTGTCTACCATACAGGTAATTAGTACATTTTAACTAGTTTTTCTTCGCTGTTGTACACAGCTGCTAGTCCATCATTTGTATTTTACTCCCTGGTGACCAATCCATGTATTCCTAATCTACTGTTTAACCCTAGTCTAGGCTTAATTCTGGCTTCTTACCTTAGACAATAGTCATTTAGATGAATACCAATACTTCTATGAGAACCTGGAAAATGTTTCTCTCGCAAAATTTTTGTGAGGAACATTGTTAAAGCTAATATTCATGTACTTTTCCTTATGTTTTTTAATGTTTCTATTTATCTGATTTCACTGGTTTGCTCTAATTAGTTGCTTCGTGGTTACTGGTGCACTCGTTCGGTAGGGGTCTAATAGTCTAGCGTCTCCGAAACTCTTATTAGCCTTGTGTCGAGATACCCAATGCATGTAGAAATAAAATATTAGTAGTCATATGTGAGAACTTTATCAGGCTTTTTGATGAAAATATTGCTTGTAATTAAAAATGAAGTGTACACGAGATGAAAACATGAGTAAATTCACTATATCTTGCTTTCTCCTAATTTTGTTCCCTATGCGTCATTATTCTTCTACATTTAATTTTCGCCTCATGTAAGTCAACACTTTTCTTAGTAGAATTCTTAAAACCTCTATGTCTCATTGTCGTGCTTTTACTTTCTCCATTACCGAATATGAATATTTCACCATTCAAGTGAAAGTGTCTGTTTAAACCAAATATTTACTGTAATTTAATGTAGATATTTCTTCTCTGAGTAGGTAATCTAGGAAATTAGGAAATTCACTTAGTGTGGAATAAATCGGAACTACGGATGTAGACTGTAAATCTCCATGAGGATTAGAAACTACAAATATCCTAGTTATTTATTTTGTAATCGTAACCCTAGCCTCTAAACACCAACTTCTCAAATCTTATTATGCAACACTTCTACTTAAGGCGCAAATTCTATTTTTAAGACATATGTAATTATTAATTTTGTATTAAACTGTCAACTTTTAACTGTACATCTTATCTGATTGTTTGATAGTTGTATATAGCGTATCTTTTCCGAGAAAACCAAGCAAAATAAAGTTAGTCTTTCTTCTTGCCAGTATCACTAAACAAACGCTCCCTTGCACGTTGGTTATTCCAGGGTTTGCTCCCCTAGGATTGTTTTAATAATAATAATAATAAAAATCCACTTTATTCCCAAAACAGTACTTATAATACACCATGGAATTCACAAAATCTGTCTTAATAATGTATCTAATTTACTTAAAATATAAATAAAATCAACCACAAGAATTTGTCCACATTTACGGTATGAATTCAAAAATATTAAAAGTACAAATAATAATAATAATAACAGTGAGTTTGTTTCAAACAGTATTTTCGATTCAGTTTGGAAACTTTTATTGAATATAATGTTGTGTTGATATAGCATGGTGTGGGGAAAGACAGAAAAATAACAGTTATTACAGAGCTTAAATGATGTTTCCACGTATGAGAAAATAAACGAAAAAAATTAAGAGGATTATAAATATAAGAAGAATGATAACCATAAAGCTTAGTGGAATAAGAATGGAGAAAATGGCTTATTTACTAGTGCAAAGAAAGTTAGTTTGTCATTGACACTTTCCAAATATGGTATAGTAGAATTTTTATACTTAGACGTACGTGCATAAAGTCTTTTGAGATGACTTCTTGTTTTACCTGAGAAGACACAAGGTGAAAGCTGCGGTGGATACTCACCGTCTGACAAAATTCCTTTAGCAAATTTGTTGCGTGAAATCAAGTGCCTGTCAATGACTATGTCAACGATATGGCCGCAACAGGAAAGCACTCACCCTACTAACAGTCTTCAGAGTTCTACGAAGTATGACTTAGTCTTTTTTAAGCAATCCAGGAGAGAATAAGGATGAACAGTAAAGACGAATAGGTAAGATGCACGAGTTGACAAACTTTAAGAGAAGGGGTTGAGTTATGCCTGAGTGCCTTTACTTCTTAATGTAAAAAGTCAGACAAAACACTATATTATAAGTAAAAACACAGTTTTTTGTTCAGCGAAGAAATGGCCCACTAAAGGAAACCATCGATAGTCTGTTTATGCATAAAAGATATGTTGATGATACCTTCATTGTCTGTCTGTCTGTCTGTTTTCGACATAGAACTTTGCACAAATGTGCGGAAGTTCAAGTCGCCACATTCCGTGTAGCACGCGAAGCAAGAGAAGAAAGTACAAGAAAAGCATAATAGAAACAGTGAGCAGAGGTGTGAGACAAAGGAGTAATAAAGAAATACAAAACAGTTTCATTGAAGATCATAAGTCAGAGGGAGTGGATGCATCTGCGCCACTGAGAACGATTTTGAGCCATGTCACCAATTGTTTCCAACCATAGATTTTTACCTTCATTGTATGTGAGGAAGACTCTTCAACTGCCGAACTCCTTAGAATATTTAATGGTTCTCACCCATCTTTGCTTTTCACGATCGAAGAAGAGTCGGATTCTTCGTTTCACTTCCTTGATGTTAAGCTAGATAGAAGAGAGAATGGAACGCTTCTAGGGTCGATTTACCGAAAGCCAACATTCACTGGGCAGTACATTAACTTCAACAGTTGGGCACCTTTAGGGAGAAAGAGAAATTTCATTCATTCCTTATGCTCCAGAATTCGTAAAATCTGCTCTGCAGAGACAATCGATAGGGAACTAGATAACCTTCGATCAAATCTCCTTAACAATGGTTATCCCATAAGGTTCATTGAACGTAATATCAAGAAAGAATCCGCCCCCAGACTAGTCACAGTACCGAAGAAAAAATTGTTTATGAGTCTTGCATTCAAAGGTGACACCATTTCAGAAGTGATTAAAAATCGTTTATCTAAATGTGTTAAACGCACTTTTCCTGCAGCTGACCTGCAACTAGTTTTTACCAGCCAAAATATGATTAGACAATGCGTCAAGGATAGATTACCGCTTTTGTCCACATCTATGTGTATTAACTCTTTTACCTGCTCTTGTGGAGCTGTTTATATTGGACGTTGTAAGCGTAATCTCCGAAAACGTGTAGCTGAACACTATCCGGTTTGGTTAATGAAAGGCGAACGTAGAACTGCAAAGTCGTCTATTTGTGATCACTTGTTAGAATCTGGTCATTTAGCCCCACGTGATTCATCTTTCAAAGTTATCTACATGGCAAAATCGAACCGTTCCAAAAGTTTACGTTTTCTTCACTTATGCATAGCCGAGGCTTTAGCTATACATGAACAGAAACCTAAATTATGTGTTCAAAAGCGTTTTGTCAAACCCCTTTCTTTACCTTGTTCATAATAATGTTCTTTCTAGTTTTTATTTTTTTTTTTTTACCACTTGAATTCTTTCCACTTTACTTCACATATTCATTCTTATCGTAATCGTACTCCTAATTTTCAAAATTTTTAGACAACATTTGACATTTTTGTTATAAAACAATCTTTGTAGTTTATCCACTTCAACTCTACTCCTTATAACTTTTATCACATATATCCGTACATTGACTGAGCAATTATCTAGTGCCACTTAATAACCTTTTTCTGTAATATAAATACGACTGTACAGCTTGAAAATGAAGTCGTTGAAAAGAAATTTCTTCGCTGAACAAAAAAACTGTGTTTTTACTTATGAATAAATGGGTATTTTTCGAGACTATATTATAAATCGTTATGACATGGGAAGACCAGGATAGGTCAGAAGAAAGAATTAATCCGAGATACTTAACATTAGACTTTATTCCTATATCACTTTTATCAGTTTTGCAACGGTCATATGAATTAACAGGTTCCTTCAACTCTCTTTTACATCGAAAACTGAAATTAGCAGTCTGACATTTGGAAGGATTTAGTTTAAGACCATTAGAGGAAAACTATTTTCTGACTCCTGATAGAAAGCTATTCATGTTAGTACGGTCTAGTTGGGAGTTAACATGCACTAAAATAGTTAGATCGTCCGCACTTAATTTGATTGGCTACGGGATTTTGTCATGAGCTGTCATCGGTTAGAGAACCATTGGAAAACCATGGAGTAGTGGACAGTTGTTTCTTCCAGTAATATTTATTTACAAGTAATCTTAACACAATTTAATAGTTAAATTTTTATCACTATAATAATCAAATTTATTTAACGCATTTTGGTTTAACAAATAAGTAGATTGTCACGAAACCTAGGTCCGGGGATTCTTGTCGGTTGTTAGTGAAAATTGAACACTTAGTTCAACGAAGAGGCTCTTTTCGGCAAATCCACTTACTTTAGCTGTAGAATCTCATTTATATATATTTTTTTACATGAACGAGGCTAGTAATAAGAATGATGAGTTGTCACAAATCATAGTTGTTAATACTAGTCAATGCATAAGATGAGCTGAATAAGTGTATTACGATTGCGTAATAAGATGAGTGATTTGATGAATAAGTTGCAGTTAGGTATGTACATAGAAACGAAGAGAAATATGGAATTATATAAGAGTTTTAAAGGTGCCTTTCTATTTTTAAACCTTAGTCATGTTTAAAACGAATAGAAAACTTGTAGCTCCTTGAATTTTCATTACTCAGTCTTTCGCTTGTTGTTCAAGCCTTTTTTTCGCATGCACGTATTATTCAAGTTTAGTTTACTCTAGCTGTACTTCTCAGTCTATTATTCTGAAATGGTTTTTACTCCCCAATCACTTACACAGTGTCTATTTTTTCATCACACTTTAATCTACTGTTATTTCAACTTTGAGTAGTGAATCTGTGTAACATAATTCAATAATTTCCAGTTTCTGTTCTGATTTAATGTTCTTAGTCAGTTACACTTTTTTTGTATTCATGGTGCTTTATTTAAATTAGCCACTAAGAATACCATTCTCAGTGTGTAGTAAAAGTTTTTCCCACTTTGATGTTTATCTTTATGACCAGGGTTGAATTAATAAATCGATTTAAGCGTTCATCGCATAGGTTATATTTATTTAAGCTTTTATATGCCCCACTTAATTCTTAGTGCTACATAGCTTTTATTGTTCAAGATAAGATTTCGACCTGATTTGTAATGTTGCTAACTTTTACTATTTTTAGCATTGATACTATTATTGCTACAAACTACATAATTTAGAACATTTACCAATGACACCTACAAAACACCACCATTTCTAAATGTTACATAAACACTTTAAACTGCGTGTCATTTTTTTTAACAGTCTGTAGTATGTGAATAGCATTCAGCTGACTGTCTTGTCCGTAACAGATTTCATCTGGCTTAGTTATGTTTCTTTTTTTTGAAATTATGTCAATCAATAACCAAAGGTTTTGCATAGAATTTCGTTTTGTTGAGGTTAATCATGTGATGACTAGACTTTTATGATTTTCGAGGGTCACATTTTGTTGTATTTTCTTTTTAAATTTTATTTCGATGGTTGGAAACTATAGTTTTAGTTCTTGTAAGTATTTCATGAATTATATATACATATATAAGTTCCAAATATGCTGGTTGATCATGTTGACAATGTGTATATCTGGAATAGCGTATCATGAAGGTATATTTGAACACTGAGTATAATACAATAGTTTCTAATTACTGTTATTTAATTTATCTTACTCTTGCATTTTGAGTTTTGGCTGAAGTATGAAAAGATAATTTGTATTGTAAAGTAGATACTGGTTTTGTGTAAGTGTACTACTGTAACCACAGAAGACAAGGGTCAAACAACAGATTGTTTATTAAGGGAATCAACACATTTATCGATTTTCATGTACATATTATAGATTATTGTTAGCAGAGAGATACAGTCTTCTGATTGGTTGTTTCTCACAGAAAGCTAACCTTGTATCTCTTTGTGGCTGTTTCTTGAATGTCAGATCATCAATATGCTAACTGTATCCGCCTACGCAAAGCCTTTGTTCTCATTTTTCTCACGACCGATATTGGGGATATAAACATTGACGTAAATTACTGTTCATCAATTTTGACTAACAGCCAGCTCTCATCACACTACTTGTAATAAACCTCCATGTTTAATGATAATGTCTCATATAGCCTAGAGTTTGAAAATTATGACAAAGCTAATTCCGTAAAAATGGCCACATATATGTCTAATTCCGGTTAAACTTCTTGAATATTTTTACTCAATAAAATAAGTGTTTTTTTTGTATTTTTGTTTCTGCTTATGTTATTCATCGACAATTAGTTATTAGTCAGAGATATATTTTGTTCATGTAATATTTTAATGACTGAAGTTGGAATGAAAACCTGGGTTACAACATGGTTCGAGGCTGCCTGCTGAGTGCTCCGATACCCAACTGAAAAACTACAGTGCATCATACTAACTGGATACATAGATCTTCTATTTCTTGTTTCCTGTTGAAGAACTGGTCATCGTTTGGATTTTGGAGCTCACTCAGTGGGAAACAATTTCAGTCATTTCGAGCTCGTTGGTTTGAATCCTGTTGCATCCTGGGCTTTCGTTTCAAATCCAACTATTACTGAAATTTAAATTCTTTTTGGAACTTTGTCATATTTAGTTAAATATGCTGAACATGGATCTTGAAAACTTACTTCAAACCTTCAATAATGCCCACCAAAACATCGGCTTTACTCATAATGCTGAATCCGACGGAATGTTCCACTTGCTCAACGTCCATCTGACAAGAAACGCCAGCAACTCTTTGAAAAGATTTATATAAAAAAAGACTATATGGAATGGACAATTCATCAACTTTCTAGGATGTATGCCTCTAAGCAGAAAAAGGAACCTGAATTACGCTCTTTCCTCAAGGATTTGGAAGATATACGGCTAGGAAATGATTGACGAAGAACTGCGTAATTTCCGAGGAACCCTGATAGAAAATGGTTTCCCACCCAGGTTCATAAACAAGAATCTCAAATCAAAGAAGACTTCCATACAAGTCCACTCCGTTCAGGAGAAGATGCTTCTGCTTAATCTAGGATTCAAAAGTGACATTGAAGCAGAAATCCTTTGTAAACGCCTCTGCAAATCTCTGAGGAAAACATACTTCGTCGCGAGCCTAAGACTGACGTTTTCCTGCAAGAAACTGTCCAACCAGAACGCGGAAGACAAGCTGTCGCATTGAGCCGCTTCAGCATGTGTATACAAGTTTACTTGCTAATGTGGAGCTGAGTACATTGGCTTTACGATACGTCCGCTTGTAAAACGCCACCGGGAATACTGTCCAGTGTGGTTACCAAAGGGAGAACACAAAGGGGTATACAGTTCGATAACAGAACATCTGATGAATTCAGGACATTCAGCACCATTCGAAAAATCCTCCAAAATTATATACAAGATTCAATCAAACCTATCCAAGGGAGTAAACTTAAAAGATCTGGGCATAGCCGAGGCACTAGCTATCCAAAAGCTCAAACCCACGCTATGCATCCAAAAGAAATACGTCCAACCCTTGTTCCTGCCATGGCCATCATAAACAGGTAATTCTTCTAATAGTGACTACACCATTGCCTTTCTTATTCAAACTTCCTGTTTATTCAAGTTATTTTTAAGTTTTTCTTAATCCCTATTTACACTACCATATTTTCATATCCGAAATTGGTGATTATTTTTTCATTTTATTACTTCTACATATTTAACCCCTAACTGCATGAATAATTATTCGTCACATTAGTTATTGTCCCACTAGATTTTTTATCCAAACATCCTGTCTGTTTTTGTTATTTCTACATTTTAACCCCTAATTGCACAATATGTCAATCTTCTCAGTAATTATAATGCTACTTTGTTTGAGTTTTATCCGTCCCCCTGTTTATTATGACATTTCAATTCCTATTTGTAATTTTGTTAATTTGACCCTTGAGCAGAAATTATTCTGGAACTTTCCCACCCATCTGTTATAAATACATGAATGTACAGCCTAGTTGATGACTCCGTCGAAAAGAAAATTTTCTTCTCTGAAGCCGTCTTTTTAAAATATAAATCCATGGAAAGCTAAATAAATTATTTCATTCACAACAGATTGATTAATGAACAAATAACGTATGTATGAGTATGGATTAATTGTGATGTGCATTTAAACATAGTCAGAAGTGTTGTATATTTCCAATTTTAAACAAACTAACTTATTCAGATATTTTCTATCTTTCGGTATAAACAGGAATGAAGTTAACTTTTTCCTATACTACATGGCATAATTGCTCATCAAATTCAAATCCTCTCTACTCTGTATTGTGTGTGCCTGGAGTTTGTCAGCTGGCTGCTACTTATAATCCATTGGTTCGTAAGCACTTACACCATGTTTCATGAATTGGTTCACCTGCATGATTCAATTTCCACCTAACTTGTTCTGTGTTTCTTTGCTAAGTCACTTCCATTTTTTTTTAATATTAAGGCATCTTATTTCATTTTTTACTTTTTTACTTCGTGTATCTATTTGTAGCCATCGCCCAAATCACGGTGAACCTTGTCCTGATTGGTGGGTCTGTTTGTGTGTAATCAGTTTATAAGTTGTGTTTATTTTTTACATTTTTCTTCCAAGCTACCTAGCTTTACAATAGCATGTGTAATTGATCTGTCAGTATATTTTGTGGAGGTAATATCCGTACTTTTAGTTGCTTAACGTGTGCTATTAAAATTTCCTACTTATTTCGGTAAAGGGAAACAATTGATAACCTTCTACTTATTCGAGCACAAGTATACATTTGGTCTTGTCGCACACTAATCAAACAGCTCCAATCTGTTTAAAAAAGTTGCATAAAGAAAAGAAATATATATATATGTGTACACTTCGTTACCTATCTGTTGTGTATTTGCATGTGTAATTTCTTATGATCCTATTCTTTAAAGCCGTTTCGATTGTTCTATCCAGTGATATTTTCGTGGTACACGGTTGACAGTGTTATTTAATTTTGGGGGGGAGGGGGAATGCGTTGAATGTTACATGTCTCTTTGTCGAATTTGAATGTATCCCGAATATTTTGTAAATTTCCCTACTAGTCGAAGAGAGATGATATTACTGTCACTTCCACTCTTTATCGCATGTTGTCTTTATCAAAGATGATTAATATGGATTTTACTTGTCACAGACTACATTCTTCGCTTCAGAATACCTGAGCAATGCCTAAATGCACCCTATGATAAGTAAATCTTGTATAAAGCTAACTCCTTAAAAATAGAAGCGTAGTTTAATTTACTTCTTCTGGTACAATGTGTCAGTAATGTCGCCTAGTCAGGCTTTATTTTAAACTTGTTTAACTCAAACTAATTTATGATCTGCATGTTGGATAAAAGCTAGCAATACTACTTTGTTCTCTAGATTTCGATAAACTCTGTACAGTAACTTTAAGTTAATAAGCAGTTTTCACTTACTTGCCTCCGACTTTCTACTACTCTCTCTGAATTATGTAGTTTGTTATTCGTATCATGCTTTTCCCAAAATACTTTTCTTTTCTAAACAAATTTTATTAGTAAGTGATGTGGGTGTCAGCTTATCTGATGAATTCAAAAAGTTAGGCAGTCGGAAATTGTGTATACCATTAGGTGACAGGAATAATCTACTGCAGTGCAGGCATCCAGTTTCCAACTGATAACTTTTATTTTAAGGTGTGTACCGAATTGTCAGATATGTAGCTGTGCGATTGATCAGTCTCGTCACGTACTGATGTCAACTTGTTGAGTTGTTCATACAGTCTCCATAACTTCCAAAAGAAACTTATCAATTTAAAATGTGAAATTTAAATTATGGCATTGTTCCAGTTGGTAAATCATGTGAGTTTAGTTATATTCGTTTCTTCAGCTTCCTAGTTATCCCCTTATGTTTGCGAGCCTTAAACACAACCGTATGTTTATTACAATTTATTGTACGGCTGTACTAGTCATAGTTGGATACTGCTTTCGTATGCAGAAACACTTTAGACTTTCAGTCAGGTAGTCTACACAGTGAAGTTGTGGGCATGGTTGAATTTGTTGTCCTTCGCTGAATATTTTGAATTTTCCCAAAACAAACTGTTGGTCTGGTTTCGTTGTCTTGTGTTATTTTCTTTGGCTTTCGAAATTATTTATTGTTGCTTTCTTGTCGCAATTAGTTCGACGCGCAATTAACTGAAGTTTTCCTGGTTAACAGGGGGTTAATATGCATTTGATAACTATTCAGTTATTTTTGTTTTAAAGTGTAACAATGTTATATGCCCTTATTTTGTACAATTAATCAATCATATGTCGATTATTAAACTACCTATGAATTTGCCATGTACTGCATTTTGTGTTTTTTTTGTTGCTGAAATAAGGAATGCCACTATGCTGGTTTAATCTGATATAACGCCATTCTGCATTTTCTTGAGAATGTTTTACTACTGGCTCTTCGTAAACCTTTGGTAATTATAGAAGAAGGAATTGTTGGCACTTGTAACAATTTCTCCTATCATATACAGAAGCATTCATAATAATATAGCTGTGGAACTTACGTTCTACTTTCCTCGGATGTTTTGAAGTTTGTGTTATTACTCAAATTAACTAAAGCAAAAATCACACGGGCTGGATTTTGATCTCGAAACGTGCTGATTAAATGTGATGATTTTCAAATTTATTATTTCACTTTCATTGATTGCTCCTAATTAGTGAGGTAAAGCATCCGCGGTAGTCACCTTTCCTAGAAGTTGGTGGTACAGAAAGGGAACTTTTCTGAGAAATTGTATACTTAGTAATATTTTGTAAAAGAATTAACAGTTGCGAATAGGAATGATAGGAAAAGGAATGCATTATTATATATTATATATATTACATTACCTCTGACTGGAAATAGCTCTTGAAACTTCTCACCCTTTTTTGCAATGAATTCACGAATATGCAGCCTAGTTGATGATGATTTCGTCAAAAAGAAAAAAATATTTCTTCGCGACAACCATGTTGTTTTTTCTTTTTTACTGCTTGTTGAGATTTCCCATGGCAGTCTGCATTTCATGCTATTTTCATCTAGCTGATCTCTGTAGTGCAGTAATTATTCTTACCAGAAAAGATTCTTATATAGACACATAATCATTAGACCTTAAAATCCTTGTGTGATAACTTTCTATGGTGTAACTGTGATAAATTTCACTTGAAAACTAGTTGTTTATTTTGTGTAAACGAGTAAAACTAATGTCAACTAGGTGTTCATTTTCTGTAGTTCACTCCGATTGGTGTAACACAACTTTCGTGTATAATGACTTGATTTTCAATAGTTTTGTAATTTGTATTTAAATATCCTTATTCTGAAGATATTACAAAAACATTTCTGTAAATTTACTCACTATATGTTTATACTTTTTGAATAAGACATTTTAGAAAGGATACATAAGAAATAACCTCTCTTTTACTGTGCGTATATCAAATTAGAAAAGGATATATTTGTATCTTTGGATCCTCTTTTGCAGTGTTAATTAGGTAACCCTTTTATTTACCTAGTCATTCTACACATTAGGCGTTGGCAGTCATACAGATAAATACCTTTGTGTTAAATGAATAGTTAAAATAGATAGATTACTAATGTTAGTATATAATATCATCTATATTTCTCTTCTCAGTTTAAGTCTTATACACAAGTATTAAAGACTTCAAAAGAAAGCGAATAGGTCATGTTTATACAATGCATAATATAAGTCAAACGTTTTGTCTAAGTTGAAAGTCTGGTCAATACATCAAAGACGACTATCTGTTAAAGTTCTTAGGTGTAAAATGTACTTCTTGTTTTTCTGCACGACTTTAAAGATTCTGTACATTTCGCACAGTTATTTTGGTTGACAGCATAACATAAAATTTTGCTTTTGGCTGCTAAGACTTCAATTTTACTGTAATGTGCCAGCTAACTAAACTAAGAGTGGTGAATCTTTGGTGAGTTTTTACTACTTATTTATATACACCTATGTGGATGTTTGTTGTTTCACGTCAGTATTCTTTCTGTCTGTCTGTCTGTCTCTCTCTCTCCTAACATGTTTTCTACCTTTTTCTTGGATTTTCCCATTTTCTTTGAATTAGTTATTCAAAAGGAGTTGCTTCCCCAGAACGATTCGTTAGAAGCCGATTATATTTCACTAGTGAAAGTCATATTCATTCATTGCTCACGTGTTTAAGATATGGTGATTTAGCTGATGTTTTAACAGATGAACAATGGAGACGTGCTATGGATTATGTATCGTCTGTTTCTGAAATCAATTACCTTGCTCAAATTGTGATTATGATTTATGAAGATCCTACAGTGGTCAGTTTTAAACAATGTTCAATTCTGCTTAATTGTTTTAACTTCTTATTTTTATTGTAATTCATGCATTTGCTAACGATACTTTTTTTTAAAAGACATGTGTTTTGTATATTCAACGGTGGTATCACAGTTTCTGTTAAAATAGCATTCATTCACATTAAACACGGACACTTTGTAAATAAGAACACTATGTAGAATGTCAGAGGCTTGTAGTCATTTTATTTCAAGTTTAAGTATAAATTAAGACTACCGATTAGGATCAGAGAAATGAGTCGATCTGTTCGTTTATTCTGTCTATATCCTCAAGGTGCACTACTTCCTTTCAACGGAATGACAACTGGTTTCATGGATGAATTGTATAAATACGAACAGAATAAAATTACTTAATAATTCTGAATGTCTCCCTGTGTATGCCACACCTTATTCAGCAGAATTACTCGGATTTTACTAACCATCAAATTATACAGTCGAACAGCACATGAATAAAAGTGAACTTATTTTAAAAGCCAGTCGTCGATAAATATTTCTACTAGTGGAATAATGATACTTAGTCATCATATATACCCAATGTTTTGTCTGCACTTTTGTAATATTCATATTTCTCTCACACCAATGGATATAACCCCTCTCCTAGAAACTTGAATTATGTTGGTTAGGACTCTCGCCGACCATGCACATGGTCCGGGGTTCGAGCCCACGCCGGCGCACATCTGATATCTATGGTTGGCCTGCAAAATTTGGGCTACCGATATCCATGCTGAAAATTCCATACTTGTACCGAAAATACAGTATGGAATCAAGCTGTAAATCAAAAATAAAAAAATAAAAATAAAAAATAAAAATAAGTACACAAGTATGTCATTTAATTATCTGTTCACATCTTATCTCATGTTCTTAATGTCTGTACAGTTTATATTCAATTAAATGGCAATCAAAACCAACAGACTATTATTCCATATTATACTTCTAGCTCAATACAAATTCTGATATAATTTTTATTCACTGTAAACAATCGTTCGTTTCTTGTTCTTTATCTTTATCTGTTTTGTCTTATTGGAGTTTTTCAGGTAAGTGATAAGTCTATCCCTTCTCTTATCTATTGCGTTTGATGTGGTTAAAATGTGCAAAGCTTCATAATGTCAGCCTTCCTCTGTTTAATTGAAAGCCCTTTCTTAGCGTTTCTACATTGTCAAATCAATTGTATGGCTGCTTTCTACGGTAGGCATCACTACGGCTAATCTTTTTTCCTGACTCTTTAGTTGTGCTTCATTTCTAGACTAATACTGCGTATTCTCATTGTTCATCCACTCTGACCTTCATCTACCTACTACTTTCCCATACAGCAAGCCTAACATCTCTAGCATTTTATCCTATAGACACTGTTGTAAGAAATATGTCTTTGTTACCAAGTAAAGTTTTCTCTGGATAATCAGAGGCCTTGAAACCGATTTCAACACCATATGTAGCAAATTCTATCCAAAGTTTTCCTACTATGTCTTTTCAATATGGAGTAGCCGTCGTCGACATCCAAGATTTTTCAATATTCCTCATGTCATCGCTGTTGGAAATGTTGTTTCGGAGCGTTTTTAGATCATAATTCTCAATAAAAATTTCTCTTACACTTATTTTGTTTGCCACTTGGCTATATGTTATGATGGTAATAGAATCAGAGTAATTCTACTGGAAAAGGTGCGGCATACAAAACGAAATGTTCAGAAAAATTTTTTTTAACACAGTTCAAAAAACCTTCAGACGTCAAACCTGCGCATTCATTTATCTGAAAATAGTATAAAGCATTACTCTAATCCAAAACAGATCCATTTTGTTGAGGCAATGTATATTTTTGGTTGGTTGAAGGTGCTAGTTTGTTCGGTGGTCGTTAAATTATCATATAAACGACAATAAATATTGACACAGAACAAATTGTGCATAGGAAATGGCATTGCCTTTTTAGTTTACATTAGGAAAATTCTTGAAACAGCAGTCATTGATAATGCCTCTGTCACTGCTAGTATCGTTCTGACACTAGACATCATGTGAAGTTGTTCGAGCACTTTAACACTGTCGAGAATAATATTTTCATCGCACTCAGGTAGGTAAAAGTTAATAATTTCTAGAAAATGTCTGTCTGTCTGTTTTCAACATAGAACTTTGCACCGATGTTGCAGCAGTTCAAGTCGCCACACTCCGTGTAAGCACACAAAGCAAGAGAAGGAAGTAGAAGAAATGCAAAATAGAGACAGTGAACAGGGACATGAGACAAAAGAAATAGTAATAACGAAGAACAATATAGTTTCTTTGGAAATTACAAGTCGCAAGGAGTGGATGTATCTTCGCCAGTCTTTGAGAACGACGATTTTGAGCCATATCACCAATTGTCCCGAGGACCCTAACCAGGAGGTCTACACCTTCCTACATGACTTAAACTCATTGTTGTGGATTTCATTAACTGACCCTATGTCAGCTAACATTGCCCATGGAGGAAGACGGTGGCTAGACATACGTAACACATGTCCTAATCATTTCACAGCCTCGTCGATTGATTCCTTCTCCCTTCTTACCTAGCACTCGACCGATGACTAACCTCAATATTGCTCACTCTATTATACCACTTCACACGGGAGACAGAACGCAGGCACCTATGATCAAAGACAGCTAATCTTTTCATGTCTTCCACTCACAATGGCCAGGTCTCACAGTCACAAAGGAGGATGGAAAGGACTTCTAAGCAGTACACATACCCTTTGGTCGACAGCTAGACAGATATCACGTCTACTAAGCCAGAGATGGCATAAACTGGCATGTGTTAAACGAGCCTTGTGTATCCCTTCGGAAATTTCATCAGCGATCAACCCGTTGGGGCTGGCTGATACAACATACCAAATAAGTGAAGCGGTCATCACGCCTAGTGACCACTTCACTCCCTATTTATAAGCTAGGAGTCAATGTAGTTCAGTCCTGTAACATCATCTTACATTTGGCGAGAGCGAATCACATCCCAAACATTCGAAGACTGCAGCTGAAGGTGTTCAGAAGACTCTGGATTTTGTCAGCGTCTTCATCTAGCAGGGAGAACTATATCATCAACGAGATTATTCCCGGGTAATAAGTCAATCCTTGAGTCTCTGAAGTTAGTTAAGGTTAGTCTTATTAGTACATCTACGATGAAATCGAATAGAAATGGAGATAGTGGGCATCCCTTCAGATGAAAACTCTCCGTAAACTCTCACCTGGCTGACTACATGAGTGCGAGTAGAGTCTCTTGGCCAGTGCAATGCATTTCCCAGCATTCCTTTCACAGTCAAACATCGCCAGAGTACCCCTCGGTCGACAGAATCGAATACCGCCCTTCCGGTCAAGAAATATAACGATCGTTGGAACCCGGTAAGTATGCATATGTCCCAGAATCTGTCGAAGGATGAAGATATGATCAACACACCCTCTTCCTAGTCTAAAGCCTGCCTGGCTCTCTCGTGTTTGTGCCTCCCGAGCACCACTTAGTCTACGCATGGTTATTGAGCCTAGAACTTCAGACACCAAATTAGTCAAGCTAATGCCCCTGTGATTATCACAGGAAGACTTGTCTCTCTTCTTGTATATGGGGATTATCAATGAATTACACCAAACCGACGAGACTTGATCTGATTCCCAGACGCTGCGTAGTACGTCAGTTAATTCAGACGGTAAACCGTCTCCGCCATCTTTAAACACCTCTGAAGTCATCCCAGCGGGTCCCGCAATTTAGCCTCGTTTCAGACCAGTGACAGCCTTAGTAACCTCAGTTAGGGACGGAGGACCTGTGTCTGTATCCCATTCAGGGAGGTGTTGGATGTTCGGTAAGTTAGGCGTGGCTGTAAGCCAGTTGAATTGCTCCTCAAAGTGTTCTTTCCAGCGTTCTAGTCGTCTATCCTGGGAGCTAATTATGGTGCCATTTTTCTCAGAGATTGTTTCACTTATCGCTTGGTTTTTACCATGCGTTTCCCTGATAAGTCTAAAAAGTTGTCTGATGTCACCGATCACCGATGCCTTTTCCATATCTTTCGCTTCTATTTTAATAATAGACCTGATGTTTTCTAATGTACATCCGATCGCATTTCAGATTACACATCTTTAAACTCTACAGTTTTCATATTGACCCTTAAAACTTTGTGTCAGTAGTCACTAACGTCTGAAACTGTGGTGTAAGGATAAAAATTAGGCACTGTAGTAGGGTATAATTTCATTATGGATAAAATTTTATTTTGATAAAACCACCCAATATTGTACTGATGACCACGTTTCCATCACAATTCATTGCTCATAATCAGATCAATTTACTCAGATAACGAAGCAAAAAGGTTATGTGAGTACCTTGATATGATTATAAGCAATAAATTGTGCTGGAAACGTGGTCATCAGTACATCAGTACTGTACAACACTGTGTGGTTTTATCAAAATAGAATTTTATCCTCAATGGAATTAAACCTGTAGTGATTAAATCTTTCATGAGAGCTGTATTGCCGACACCTTTAATCAAGTTTTAAAATATTCGAAGTGTAGTCGTGTGTGTTTAAGTCATTAAATTCACATTACACTTGAGATTTGTCGTTATTTTTATTTATTTATAAGAATAATTATTTATGTTTCATTTGAACACAAATCAAGAATTCTCATCATTTATCAACCATATATATATATATATATATATATATATATATATATATATATACATTGATGATTATTTAAAATGAATTAGCTTAATGCGTTGCATTTGATAAACTGCTGTTTTTCTTTGAAAATCAGGAGATTTTTCATTTTGGTGGTGGCGAGCTTTACAATTTTCAGGAGTGCTATATTTCAAATATGAAGATCTTCAGTCTGAACTACACTGCATAGTTTATTCAATACTGTTCTTCGTTTAATCTCACTTACCTGTCTTGTTATAAGGTATTAGTACTCGGATTAAAAAGTCATCGTTATCACCTTGTATTCTACACATTTTATCGTTTCCTGTCAATAATATTTTCGATGTATATTGATTTGCATTTTAGGAACCAAAAACTGAAAAAAGGTTCCATGTTGAACTGCACTTTAGTCCTGGTGCTTTTGCTTTGTGTCATGATCTTCCTGAAGGCAGTGGATTTCGATCTGGTAAACTGGAGGTATGTCGCATCAGATTGCGTCTTCTGTGCATTGGATAATGTCTGTTTTCCAATTGTTTTCTAAATCGTATCTACTCTATTTCCCTAAATTTTGAACAGTAATGCTGATATATATATATATATATATATATATATATATATATATATATGCATTATGAAACAAGTTATTACTTTGTGGACACTGAACCATTCTATAGTCTCCAATTTACTTTCTCTTCTCTTGCCAGCAATATAGTCCTCTATAAGACAAAAGTATGGGAATACTTTTCATACGAATACAACTTAGGCACTGTGATAGATTACAATTCAATCAAACAAAAAATGTATTTGATAAATTTTCACAGTGTTATACAGTAATATTTACTGATAATGTTTCGTGCACAATTTATTGCTTATAATCATATCAAGGTGCCCACACAACTTCCCGACTTTTAATTCCATATACGTTTGTTTACATAATTCCATTATTTCTCATCTCTCGATTCGATTGGTGGTAATATTTTCCATATCTCTAGTATTAGTATTAGTGATGAGTCATTCCTACTGCATGTGTTGGGTTTAGATTCGATGAGCAAAGGTTCAGTAGTCAACCTCTCTCTCTCCCTCCCCATATATCTGCGTTGCTAATATATGTGTAAAACTGTATTACTTTTAGGAATTGTAACTCTGTCCCACCTTATTGTATGGTTGTGTGTGAATGCATCCAGTGCAATTGATGAGTTTTTTTCTAAATTACTTGTCTTCGCGAGGTCAATCAATCTACATTTAGCTAAATTCTTGTGTCCTGAAAATCTGACTATCCCTCACTTACTAGTTTGACCTATGTAGTTGACCCCTCACAGTCATCGCAAGGTATTTTGTATATCATATATTTTTTCTAATGGGGTCGATAGTGTCCTTTAACTTACCGAGTCTGTCCCTGAATGAGTTTGCAGGTTTACATGCCACTCTGGTTGATGTCTTATTAAGAATCCTACGTAGAGTTTCAGATATTCCCTCCTTATATGGTGAAGCTGTAGGCGCCTTATATCCTTTCCTATTTATACTATCGTTACTAGTTTCACTATTATTTTATTTGTCTTGTGACAATTTTTAAATCCTTTAAATGGATTTTATAGCACAGTTATTCAACACTAACGCTTCTTCTATCTGTTTCATTACATCATTTAGATTTTTTGATGTATTTTTTTTAGTGTTATTGCTTGGTTTGTCAGACTCTTAAATAAGCCTTCCTTCACCGATAATGCATGAGATGAATTAAAGTCTAAATATCTATTTGGACTAATTGGCGTTTTTTTTAGCATAGCTTGATTCCACACCGTATTTTTGGTACAGGTATGGAATTCTTAGCATATGATATCAGTGACCCAAATTTTTCAGGCCGACCAATTGATATCAGGTGTGCGTCATCAGGGGATCGAACGCCGGCCCATCTGCATGGTCAGCGAGAGTCCTAACCGCTGTGCTACCCACGCTAGTGTGCAGTTTACTTTCTTGGACAAAAACATTGTCATTGCAAAGGTTGATAAGGAAAACTCGACGGTAGTTATGGTTTAATCCAACTATATCTAAGAAAGTTTGAAAATCCCCATTGAGTCATATGAAAAAGAGAAGACGTTCAGCGAAGAGACTCTACTTTGTAAAACCATGTTGGTAAGTGTTCGGTGATACGTTTGGAAAGCAATATATATATATATATATATATATATATATATATATATATATATATGATATACAAAATACCTTGCGATGACTGTGAGGGGTCAACTACATAGGTCAAACTAGTAAGTGAGGGATAGTCAGATTTTCAGGACACAAGAATTTAGCTAAATGTAGATTGATTGACCTCGCGAAGACAAGTAATTTAGAAAAAAACTCATCAATTGCACTGGATGCATTCACACACAACCATACAATAAGGTGGGACAGAGTTACAATTCCTAAAAGTAATACAGTTTTACACATATATTAGCAACGCAGATATATGGGGAGGGAGAGAGAGAGGTTGACTACTGAACCTTTGCTCATCGAATCTAAACCCAACACATGCAGTAGGAATGACTCATCACTAATACTAATACTAGAGATATGGAAAATATTACCACCAATCGAATCGAGAGATGAGAAATAATGGAATTATGTAAACAAACGTATATGGAATTAAAAGTCGGGAAGTTGTGTGGGCACCTTGATATGATTATAAGCAATAAATTGTGCACGAAACATTATCAGTAAATATTACTGTATAACACTGTGAAAATTTATCAAAATAAATTTTATCCATAATGGAATTTTACTCTACCACAGTGCACAGGTTTTATTCCTATTTCAAGAAATTAGCTACTTTTGGTTGTATGCCATGCTGTTTGTGTTTTTCAATATGTATCACACTTTACTATTCAAAGGTTGGAAACAGTTTATCTGTCATGGTCACATCACATATTGTTTTGAATAGTAAATTGTGCTGATAGCTTCATCTAGTAAAGAATATTTCCTCTGTGTGATGTATGAAATGCGGAAATCAATATGAAATGTGAATCACATAGAATTCATAGAAGGCCATTAGAGAAAATCTTGGAAAAATGTAGCCGGAAAAGATGAATGTCGTTATGATGTGTGCAAATTTAAGGCATGACCGCATCTTCCAGCTTCATTGCAACCCGAATTGCACGTTATGGTTAGAATTTGCTTGGCATGCATAAGACATGTTTCAGCATACTTGTTGGAAAACGATTTATATCCGTATAGTGGTGTTAACGCCGCTGTTTCATTACACATGACGCATCAAAAGCGATGGGAGTCATGTTAAACAAAAATACCATTCCCTTTCTTTCAATACTTATATTTCACAAACTCAATAAAATTTCATTCGCTGCTACACCGGCATTACTTGTAGTGCAAGTTGATTGCTGCTAAAATATCAGGGCTGTTATGATTTCCAACACATACAAAAACCTGAATTACCCATTGATTTATGAAGAAAATTCTCTTTATCGTTTAAGTCAGCATTTACTGGCTTTGAAAAGGGTATTTATTTTTAATAAATAGGTATAGCAGTGTATTGATAAGTAATAAGGGGTTGTGACATAATTGGTGTAATTACTCAAAAGTGGTTTCGGAAGATAAAAAAACGTTGTGACACAATGGAAAAATATATATGAAATGAGAAGCGAGATGGTTGAGTGGGAAAAAAACATCAAGTAAAATGTATAAAACGAACATGTGAGGATGGTGATAGTGAATAACTGAAAATGGAATCAAACGAATAGGAGAGAATTTTATACTTTAGTGTTGACGGTATAGACGTTCGCAAACAGTACTGAGTATATCACCGCAAGATCTTATACCTACAATTTCTAACTTATTTGATTCTCGTTCACCAAAGGCAAAGCAAAACACCTTAATTGATTGTTCAAACTACGAGATATATTTCGGAACCAAATCACGGATTGAAGCGGAAGCTAAGCTAGCTAGTTATCGTGCACGAAAGTGACACAACGGAGTACCAAATGGCGGGGATGCTTGACAGGAAGCCTTCAGCTAAACAAGTCGACTTAAACTCTAAGGGTCAGCATCCAATGTTCACTGATGATTCTTATGGTCACGATGTAATTCTTCTCCTAGACATAATCTATTCTTATGGTCAATAATTTTGGGGACTTATTTACCGCTAAAATACCATATTAAAATAAGAGGCTCGGCGTATAGAGTTCAGTTTTATATTGATGAATCGCTAGCACTACCGCCATTCTCCAGTGCCGGAACATAATACTCTTACCATTCGGTCTTAAAAAAAAACTCTGGCGTAGGCACATGGTGTGCATTTAAGGCCCCACTAACTCAGCTGGTTATTGACTTCTATTGTCCTCCTAATAGCCATGCCGGGTAATGCTCAGATATGCGTTTGTATATTGCGTGCTTTGTGCAGTATAATTATTCTAACAGGAGCAAGTGAATCTAGAAACATACCTTGAGGTGGCTCAAAATGTCAGTGTGTCCTTCTCATATCCACTGATCATTTACCAGTTGTAGAAATTGGTCGGTGACAGCCGAAAAACGTGCTTTTCTCAGCTGTCTCAGTAAGCGGTTCCTCAGAATCTCACCCGTAGTATCACCTTTAGGTTCAGTATTCGTAAACAACAATTTATTTGTCACTGTTTTGATTCTTTCAGGCTTCTGCTTTACTTCCATATTTTTCTAGATGAATCTTGTAGGGTATCCACTTTCAATGACGATTTATCTGAATATTTTCAATTCATCATCGATTGTACCACTGGTGCATATACTTTTTATTCTTGAAGATAAGAGGTGGATTAGGTTTCTTTTTCTTCTCAAAAGAATCCAACTACTGATTACTTATGTTTTGACCATTCCATTTTGGTTTCTTGCACAATGATTTCTGAAGATAGCCTTCAGATCTCTTTCAAAAAAACATCCAAAAAAAAAATGAAATTCTGACTGATGTTTACTTAAACAGAATGGTAGTAATTACTGAACTCCTTTATTGTCGTTTCGAAAACTTTCTGTAGTGGGTCATAAAATGCTATTTGCAAGATATTACCTTGAAGCAGTGTGCAGGTGGAGAATACACTGACGATCTCATTGCCCCTTCATCTTTTCCTCCATATAGTTCGGCATTGAAATTCATCACTACTTTTATTACGTAATTTCTTCTTATCTTTGGAAACCATTTCTGCGTAATTATATCAGTCATGTTGCTACCCCATATTACTCATGAATAGTCTGCTATACCTATTTATTAAATATAAATACTATTTGAAAGCCTTTAAATATTGACTTAATCTATGAAGAGAATTTTCTTCTCCGAAATGTTCATGTTGTACAAACAAAATGGCCAGTGTACCTAATGTGGGATAAAGCAAAGCCTTAAATCATTCGAAAGATGCGAAATTTCTTTCTAAGTAAGTAACTAATGTCATAGCAGCGTCTCATTACATGTTCATGTTATGTTTACGTTAGGTCAACATGGGCATTGTTGATGTCTTGCTAAGTAGTAATAAATACATAAATAAATAAATGTTATATTTAGATTTCTGTGTAATGCGTTTGAACACTGCTAAAACAATTCACATGTGTGAATTCAGTTTCATTCACTCGTCCAGTTGTGAACGAAGTGAAGTGTTCATTTGAGAGGTGTAGATTATAAAATGATTGCAACATTTACCAGGATTACATTTTCTTTCCGCTAAGTTTATATAATGCTAAAGACATTAAGAAGCTGCTCATCACAGATAATTATTGTACTGGTCACTGATACTGGAAATTGTCAAATGGCAGTTAACAGCTATTATCAGTTCTATTCTGATAAGTCAACAGGATATTTATTTATTTATTTCCGCTTCTTAGTAGATACAAATATGTGTTACTTTTTAGCCTCAGTATAGCATCAATGTTCTAGCATGAGTGTCTTGCCTTGTAGTCTCCTATTATATCGTCTATTTCATGAATCATCAAAATCCATCCATCCCATAACATTTTTTTTGGACATTGCCTTTCAAGTACGTCATACAAAGCAGTTTAGAAATTTTGGCCTTGTCTTTTTAGTGAATGTGCCAAGTGTACAGAAAACACAATATTGTCTTTTATGCGTTCTGTTGATGCTCAAGTATCTCTGTGGGTTTATCCACTGTATAACATATCGACTGATTTGAATAAATTCGTTATACAAAGCCTGTTTCTAATACTTAGTGACATTGTTTCATTCCTTTTTCATCATATTCTAACATTATTTGGAAACTGATTGGTTTTACGTGCGTACGTCTCAACTTAAATGGGGTAATTCTTACTGTCGAATCTGTGCTATAACATTTAACAATGTATTTTATTTATTTATTTTTTCATATGAATCTTTTTTTTTGCATGCCATCTGTGTATTGTCTTACTTGTTTCCGTAATGCTTATAATTGTTTTTTGTTTAATTCGCTCTTCTACAATATACACGAAACTTTTGGTGTATATGTTTGCTGGTTTGTGTACTGTGCACGTGATTTCTTTTGATCATATCTTGGTGTTTTTTTGTACCTTCTTAAAATTCATGGTTTTATTTGGTTTTTAACTGCTGCTTCGCTTGCTTGCTTGCGTGTGTTTGTGTGTGCCATGCGTTAATTATTTTCGTATTTCATAATCAGCGTCTCAATTCTCAAGTTAGTGTAGTAAGTAGCGGTACATCAGTAGATAAAGGAAGCTCTGACTCAATGCCTCAGTCACTGATGCCATCTATTGGTCGTTCAGTCTCTACATGTGAACAAGACAAGCGAATGGTCCCCGATAAACAAAGTTCGAAACGATCAGATCAGAGTATTGAACATTGTCCCAATCCTGAGTCATTTGATTCAAGTGATATGTCGTTTTCTGGATCTTATAACAGTGATAGGTTTTCTCGTTGTCCGTCGTGTAGGTCTAACAGTGTACAGTCGAAAGGTCTTCCCCCTTTAGATAATTTACGTTGGAGTTTCGATAGCGATAGCTGTGATATATGCAAAGATAAAATGGAGTGTTGTTGTGAAACTTCACACATCAAAAATTTAGAACAGTGTTCAGTACGACGATCAAATAGTGTTAAATTTTGTCATAACATTCTTCAAAAAGGCTCCTGCCCTGGTAAACATGATGAAACTTTGACTGTTAGTCACAGATCACAATCTCAAGGTCGTCCTTCTGTCCTGCCATTATCACCTGTGCCATCCGCTTCTACCTTAGAATACACGGGAACTCCTACAGCATCAAATCCGGAAGTAGGCGTTGGACGATTCACTGTCACACGATCAAATACTGAAGACAATAACCTGAGTCAAAATTCCCCGTGTAGATCAAAAATGGAAAAAATGCTTCCATCTTTTTACACAAGTAGATTGGGAGCATGTCATTTCAAACGCTTTCCACGTTCAGAGTTTTCCGAACATGCGATTCGTAATCGATCTTCCATTTCATGCTCCCCTGACGTTCACCGGAAAACAAAGGATTTGGACAGTGCACTCCTGTCAAAACCCAGATATTCATGTTTTACAAAATTATTTCAGCCAGGGAGTAAAGCAAATGACTCAGGAGATATTAAGGAATCGGATTTCAGTAGAGAATTAGTTCTTGATTATGCCTACCTGCGTAACAACACTTCACATTTCTCTCCTGTAATGCAATGGCTTTCAATGCAACCAGAAAACGTAGTCAAGTCCGATGGGAATTATAATGAAAAGGATTGTGATTTAGCCTTAATCAGGGAAAAAGTAAGAGGAAAGTAGTTTTTATTGATTTTTGATGCAATTTCACAAGTTTTACTAGTACTTGTTTTGTTTTTCTCACTGTCGTTTCGCTCCATTATGCACCTTGTCATCTGGATTTTTGAGTATTTTAGTATATTACCACAGTCCATAAATAGCTTCTGATTAGCATGTTTGCGGTCTTTCGAATAATTTCAATGTTTTCATACTCCAGAGCATTCTGTTTTGTAGATATTCGTGGTGTTTTGGGTTGCGGCATGGAAGTCTGAATGTAAACCTATGCAATATGTCAACTTCCTTTGATCGAATTTGTCATACGTTTAAGAGTGATAGTGAATTGAATTTCGTGACTGTAATAATTCGATAATCTTAGCACTAAGCGAATTCAGTTACTCTGCCTATTTGTTTAGTGAGTTTGTGTATTGTAAGAGAAAGAAGAGAACACGAAGTTCAGCAAAGATATCTTTTCGGCGATTTCATTCTCAAAAACTGTACAATCGCATTTATATAGATTATTTTACATGGATACAATTGTTATTTGTTTAATTTCACATAGTAACGAAGGTGATAATAATTTTCAACTTGATATGATAGTTTGGAGGTACGAATATAGATTACAAGAGGCATAGAAACAAAAAATTACACAGGATTAGAATATAATTGTAAAATGGTTATTCTTAACGGATTACAAATGTGATCAGGAGGAGCATGGAAACAAAATTAAAATAACTAGTTTTATAACTGAAAAAATAATTTGAGCCTGAAATGAAAGTTAGGACGTGTGAATATAGATTACAAAAGCCTTAGAAACACAAAAATTGCACAATATTAAGATATAATTGTAAAATAGTTATTTCAAACGAATTATAAATGTGAACAGGGAAAAGCATGGAAACAAACTTAAAATAACTGTTTTTATAGCTGAAAAAAATTAGGTGGATTAAACGAAGATTGAGGGACTAAGAATCAGACACAGAGCGAACGAAAAATGCTCTAAAGGAAAAAGCGAAAACGAAAACAGACGAGGAAGAGAAAAAAGACGGAAACAAAGGGAACATACCAAGCTAGGTCCATGGTAGTTGTAGAGGTTGGACTAACTTCTTTTGAACACACAGCTCCGGCTTCTCGGTGCATATTGCGAGGGCTTCTGCAGTACAAAGAAGTCGGAAACCAAGAGTAATATGTTTTCGATCTATCTATATAATCTATATAAATGCGATTGTACAGCTTTTGAAAATGAAATCTCCGAAAAGATATCTTTGCTGAACTTCGTGTTCTCTTCTTTCTATTGTAAGAGACACCTTTTAATGAAGACATTGTTCACTTTTAATAAGATAATCATGAAATCAATTTTAGAAGACCAGAAGTTTTATTATGGAATCAGTTTTGGGCCCTTTTATTGTCAGTTATTCATCTTGCACTGGTCAGCCGCTGGAATGTTTGCGATTAAGACATTTGACAAACTTATCAGAGATCTATGGTTTGCTATTTAATTGAATTTTAGATTTTTCCGTCGATTGATTGGACTGAAGTGTTCGGTCTTAGGTTGACATGTCGGCTCCTCCGTATGCAGATGATTCGACGATGTCTGAGTATTTAATTAGAAGTTAATTGTTGTATGGTGTCTAGCAGTGGAATCTAGGATGCACATTTCGTCCTATTTGGGACTCGTCATCTGATGTGCCTGCATCATCACTCACTGCGGAATGCTGGCACATCCCGATGACGAGTCCCAAATAGGACGAAATGCGCATCTATGATTCCACTGCTACTCACTCACCATCCACCAATTAATCTGTAGTTTGCATCTAAATCTCTTACGAATATGATTTTATGTGACTCATATTTTCAACACCACTTCATGACTTGAGTGCTTTTGATTTCTCTTAACTTCTGTTTTTACTCCAGTTGTACTAATTTATAGTATAATTGTGAATGTGATCCGCTTGCGAAGAGAAACGCTTTAAATCTAACAGCTTTTTTGATTTCTTTCATCTAATTATTTTATTTACTTATGCTGTCCACAAACTCAATGATATATACTCAGTATGTGGTACTTAGTTTTTCTGTTTGCAGTACGAGTCAAGAAAAACAGCCAATATTATCGGTATTACGCCAGTAACTCATTTAAAATGGTACCTTCTTCCTGTTATCGAAGTGTTTTTTCACCGAATTATTTTATATCCACGTATGTTTTTTAGAAATCACGAGAAACGATACCGTGCACAAATGCAGAGGCTGTTAAAAGTGAGTTGAATTTCTCCATCTGATATTGGCTTTTTAAGAAATTTTTGTATAAGTTCCTTTCCAGAAAAGTTGTTCCACCATGAATATATATATATATATTATCGTTGCGCTGCATATATAATGTGCGGTAAATAAGAAATATAAAATTCGATTATATGGTTGAGTGATGTGCTTGTGTATTTATAATCAACAGCAATGTAAATTTCAGAGGATGAATTGTTCTCAGTGGCGTGGTAGGAAACATGAATACTATAAAATAAATTAACAAATAAGTTATGTAGGCTGAATGTGAGGCATAGCAAATGACACCAGCGATATTGTGTAAGCACAGTTGTCACATGGCGTCGGTGGCACAGCGGTTAGGACGCTCGCCGACCATGCACATGGTCCGGGGTTCGATTCCCGGCCGACGGACTCCTTTACCTCGCTTAGTCAAAAATAATGCTGGTAAAGAGGAAAGGTTGGGCATGAGGATAGCAACCCCATCCTGTAAAAGTAAACACTGCTACAGAAACTTCAAGCCAGTAGCTTGAGGCCCTATGTTCCACTGGAAACGTGTGGGAAAAATAAAAACAGTAGTCACAACAGTGGACAGTAATCTAGTAATAAATACATAAATTACGCTTAGTGTAATTCTGGAGAACGATAAAAAAAAGTAGGTAGGACGACGCGAGTAGCCTGGATTCTACCGCTATCCAGTGCTAATCCAGCAACTACCAGTAATTAGTAGTGATCACATCGAAGCACTCCTTTACCTCACTGAGCCAGAAATAATGCCATTAAAGAGGAAAGGTAGGGCATGAGGCTAGCAACCCCATCCTGTAAAAATTAAACACTGCTACAGAAACTTCAAGCCACTAGCTTGGAGCCCTATGTTCCACTGGGAACGTGAAGGAAAAATTATTATTATTTACATCGAAGCATCCATTGAAGAAACGTATATATATCAAAGTGAAGCTGATCGGTCAGATATATCAATGAGAAATTAAATGCAAGGATGAATAACAGTAATACTGGTACGAAGTCAACTAGGTGAAAAAGTGAAGGAAGGACAGATGAGTGATTTTTAAGGTGTAGATATGAAAATGTGCTATTATTACCTTTAGAACCACCTTATAGTAAACCAAAGCAGACAAAGAGGATGAATGCACCTTATTTAGACACACTGGTTAGGTTTGTTCTTATTGATTCGCACAGGTTTAGTTATGCCTAAGAGGTAGTGTATTCGCGTACCTTTACTCACATTATTTGGCTGTTGCTATACGACTGTGAATATCTCTTCTACTTTTATGTGTTGTTCGGTGTGGACAAAATTAGATGAGATTGTGGTACTTATTGACATGGGTACTATTCTTTCGAAGCTCTACATTGAGAGATGTTTACATGTGTGTGTTTGTGTATGGAGATAAATTTCTCTGATATGATTATGAACACTAAATTTTGTTCGAAATGTCATCCAGTAAATAATACCATTTCACTGTGTGATATATCTAAAAAGCAAACTATTATGGAATTCTCTGAGTGTGGTTTATATAACTAGCATCACAGGAGCAGTTTAGTGTATGTGTAACAACAGAAGACAAGGGCTTGGCAACAGATCGTTTTATTATGAAAATCAACACGTATTTATACATATTTCACATACATTATTATAGACAAGCGCAGTCATCTGATTGGTTGTTTCGGGATTCCTCGACAAATAGAGTTCTCTATCTGCGAATCATATTTTGCCACGTTAACTTTGCTGTGATTGGTTGTTGAATCAGCCTTGCTCATATTTTCTCACGGCCTGCTCTCACCACACTCGTCCCCCCGTCAAATACGTGCGACTGAAGTCGGCTTGATCTACGTGGTGCAGGCGTCATCGTTGGCTTGTCTCGCTGTATCCGTTTCTGGAGCTCGCTGACGTTCACGCGCCTCTCATTGTTCGTCATTGCGATTGTGTCCGCGTAATCCCATCTCGAAGTGACCATATGTGGTCCTTCCCACTTTGGAAACTGTTTGCCTGACCCTGTCGAACATTCGTCAGTATTTCGTCTCACACTTTCATATGCTGCTTTCACCCGACCTCCCAGCAGCGTCCCAAGTAGCAGCTCCATCGCTGACAGATCTTGAACGCCACTCAACTGCGCAGAAGCCTTGAAGTCCTGCCCGAAGATCCATATGTCTCCATCAAAAACTGCAGGGTATAGGCTTTCCATTTGTCGGTAGGCAGCGACACCAAATGTAACAACAGAAGACAAGGGCTTGGCAACAGATCGTTTTATTATGAAAATCAACACGTATTTATACATATTTCACATACATTATTATAGACAAGCGCAGTCATCTGATTGGTTGTTTCGGGATTCCTCGACAAATAGAGTTCTCTATCTGCGAATCATATTTTGCCACGTTAACTTTGCTGTGATTGGTTGTTGAATCAGCCTTGCTCATATTTTCTCACGGCCTGCTCTCACCACATATGTACACAGGTTGATGAGGTTATCTTTAACGTATTGTGACCATATTAGACCTGTTATTGCATAGCACTGAAAGTCCTTTCAACCTGTCTGCTCAAAGTACGTCTTGTTATATCACCTAATGTATTATTGGATGTTTTAGATAAGTGGATACCCTTCGTTCTTATTATTTATTTCAAAGAGTGATTTGTGGTTCAAAACGAATCTTTTTTTGTGTAAAGTAATGTACATCTTTAAAAAGTAGGATACCATAAACTACCATACTTTTTATTTATCGTGAACTTTCGGTCTTTTTTTGGAGAGTCTCGTGCACATTAAATGCGTAAATAGAAGTGTTAGAAGTGTTTTCTTTGTCTGCTATCAAGGTGAAATGCTATTTGTTTTCTATTTTAACGAGCCTTAGTAAGTTTTATTTATTAATATTCAATTCAGAGGATGAACGTAGTTCGGTTAGATTAAATCGTCATCATAGTGCTAGTTCCGTACGTTCACTAACCAATCAAGTCACATCTCCGAAAAGGAATCTGGTGATTCCCTTGTCCACGTCTCCTACACAAGCATCATTGACTCCAACTCTTCCTGATGAACCATTATCTTCAATACTTTATCCCAGTGGGTCGATTCAGTCAATAATGGAACCATCAGGAAGTCAAACAAATTCCGTTGCACAAACAAATAGCTTACTACAATCCACCGGACCGGAAACTGCAATTGATGATGCTATCATCAATCAAGCTTTGAATGCTGTTACCTATCCTAGTCGACAAAGTCCATATCACTTGGATATTGGACGTCTTATTAGAGGTAGGTTTTTTTCAATAGAAAGCTCTTAAATAATTTTTTATTCCATTTGCTCCTGAGTGAAATATAATACATCTGTCAAAATAGAACTTTTTGAATGTCATTCAGTGTTTGGCTATTTTAAACGGTTATAGTCACGCATCACTGTGCTTTGTATTTTGTATGCTTTGTGGAAGAAAAAGACGTGTACATGATTTTCTGAAACTATAAAATTGTTCGTTGTGGCCTTAAACCCAAAAATGTTTTAAGATATTTAGAAATAATAATAAAAATGGATGTTTTATTCTTACTACAGGTTTTCTCTAAAAGTGTTTCGCTTCGAACTAGCTTACAGAACTTTTCAACACCTTTAAATCTGGATGCCTTAGTTTGATTATCTGATTACCTCTTTGCGGTGGACCTTTCTTTTTTCCAGGAATGTTTTATTCTATTTTGACGCCAGTCTATAGTTTAAGTGGGGATAAACTGTATCTCAAATTGTGCATCACAACCTTCTGAAGTGTTTTAACTGCGTTTTTCATTCTTTCATTAGACAGGGAATACAAGTAAACTGAGACATGGAATCTACTAGAGTTGGCTAAAAGTCGTTATCATTCCTTGTTGAATAAAAATGACTAATTGAGAAACTTGGTTTTTAGAAGTCCTGATTTATCTAGCGCTAATTCAGCTACTAGAAAAATGTTACAGTGGTGGATATATATATATATGTTACATGGCTTCTCATAATGGACTTACAATATACTATTCTGGATGTGCCAGTTACGCCTAAGATGAATGATTAATTTCCAAATATTGAATAGATGCCTATCTAATCACGAAAATGACACGATTTAGGTTAAGAAAAATGCTATATGAGTAGGATTGTGTAGGAATAAGCAACTCTCATAGGTTACAACGTCAAAGTCTATAGTTCAGTATATGGCATTTTTGTACTGTCGACTAATTTGTCAGCATGTATAAATTTCCAATATTTTGCAATCTTTTTCGTCTATATTTCAGAAACTGAACAAATATACAGGCGTTTCAGTTCTGCAGCGCGTAAATGAAATTACTCATACTTGTGTTTTCATATATACATATATGTGTATATATGTATATATAATTGTTGTATTTCCATCAAACCTGTAATACAGTTTCCCCCTTTTTACGTTAGCGTCATATCCATATATTGTTGCCTGTGTCCACTTGACGATTAGTGGTGCATGGTTTCTGTTTGTTTGGTATTTTTCATTGAAATTCCTCAGATCTTATCCAATTGTCCTGCTCTCTTTGTGTGCTAGTTGCATAGTAGTTTTGAATTCATTTCCCTATTTGAAAAATATTCACAGAAAAATAAGTAGTTGAATACGTGATGAGAGCTCAGGAACTTGTAGTCTTGTGCTGTTGTACTTGACACATTCTACCCGAATTTCATAAATTACTCGGCCTTATTATTATATTATCGTTTTAGTAGAATAGATAGCTAGGATCTTGATAGTTTGCACTGGCTACAAAGTTCCGTGACAGTTTAACCCCTGATGTCGACATTTACCCATGAATTATATTTTAGCGTTTACGCATCACCGGAATTTTCTTCAGTTATTCTATATGACGTCTTAAATTACTTGGTGGATGGTGGCTAGCAGTGGAATCCAGGATGCACATTTCGTCGTATTTGGGACTCGCCAGCTGTATGTACGTGCATTTCTCAGTGACTGATGATGTTCCCACCCGAGGCTGGAACCCAGTGTCCATAGTTTAAAACGCCAAAGCGTTATCCACTAGACCACTTGGGCCACGAGAGCCTCCTCTTGTGCAACGGTCTGCACTTCTGTCCAATCAATCGACGAGAAAATCTAAAATTTGATTAAAGTCTTATATTACTAGTTAATTAATTCAGTTCACGCTAATTCTAGATTAGTTATATCCAGAGTTTTATAGTTTATTGAATTAAAAATCAAATGACATTGTCATTCATATTATTCATTATGTTTTGCCGCTAAACTGATATATGGATAAAGAATTTACAGTGATAAGTCAGTATTTATATCCAGCTTTTTTTTGATGCTCTTCTTCCTATTATTATTCTGTTATAAATGCTTTTTTCCGACGTTTTCCATCAAAACGCTGTAAGCAAAATAGCCTGATATGCCTTCTTTACATCATATTCGTTGGTTAGCAATACGGACTCGTACTTTTGATACAACTTGGCAGTCTTATTAAAGCGAAATAGCTATTTAATTCGGAGCTTTTAACCAATTGGTTGGCTTCGGTCACCACGCAGAAGTGATCATGAGGTTTTTCACGATCGTTCGGTGGTAGTCAGGGTGGTTTTAGTAACATTGAATTCAGTCAGCTTTTTCGCTTAAAATGCTTAGTGTTTCTTTTTCGCATACTATGATAGGCTGTCATATATATATTGATGGTAATTTGTGAGGTATTATAATATTCATCCTAACTGTTTGATATTTTATGCTTTGTCATTATATATTGGAAGTGTAGTGGTACATGTACGTGTATATACATCCAGGCAATATATTGAGAATGGTAAACTAGTGACTGTCTAGCTTTGTTTATCAACCTCTCTGCATTAGGTATGCACGACACTTTTTCCTATAAATGCATGTTGTTTTGCCATTTTTTGTCTTGTAAACACATACTGAAACGAAAATCCATTTGTATATTGTTTACCCCTTTAGCTTTTATCCTATATTCGATTGTTTGTTGTTATCAGTACATTTTTCTCCTTATTTCAGTCATATTCACCTCGCCTAAATGGTGAACATCTTTATTATAATGCTATTCACTTTTACATAAATGGAATGTAATCGTATTATTATTATTATTATGCGATGTCATCATTTGGTTCCTTTTGTTATTCGACTTTTTCTTTTTTACCTGAGTTGAATTAAGAAGAGAGTTGATTATCTAACGTGTAGGCCATTTTGTTATTAGATATTCTTTAAAATCACCGTTTGTGTTGACAAACTAGGAGAAAATTAAGTTAAATATGATTACGATTTTGCTTAATAGTTTCATTTAAATGAATGAATGAAATATTTGCTTCTCAGATTGTGGTGTGATTTGTCTAAGGTTAGTGAAACCAACTGTACTAACATTGAAACTCTTCAATAACGTATACACTTCTAAATTGTTAATACTACTTAATGATGCGTCTTAGCTACATTTTTGTGATTTATAAACCAAAATTGTTACACTCGTTCATCGATGTTTATTATTATTATATGCGTACACTTGACTTTTAAAGACTGTTAGTTCTATTCCGTCGCTTAAGTGGATTTAAGTAATCAAAGAAATTGCAGATTAAAAATTAAGCATTCAAGCAATTCTTCTTCAACAGTATTCAGAAACACTTATAATTCACCAAATAGTCGATGTAATTTCTTTATTTTACTTTTATGTGTGTTTTTGTTTAAGCTGTTTGTTATTAATCATTGAGCAGTTCTGAGTGTTTTGTTGAGAATCAGTAATAGTATATTTTTCCCTACTCTGGATGATGAAGATGAGAAGTGTTTATTTTCACGCACTTGGCTTTGATGTACGTTTATTGCATGGAGAGGTTCCTAGTCTAAAGTAAAAGGCGCAACATGATTTACTCTTTCCATGCATTGACTGTATAGCTATGTTCTGGCAGTAATTCGCGCTCTAAGACTTCGATAGCTAGTTCACTTAAGCAGCAAAATCTATGACTGGACCTTGAATTCTTATCTTTTTACTCTGTCTAACCGGCTTTACTCACCTCAGATAACCTTAGTTCATCGATTTTAGCCTAGTCTTTATCGGTCAGTTGTAACTTGTAGATTATTAAACATTTTTGATAATGACAAATGAGTGGGACATATTTTGTTTTTTAAAAAGTTATTTTTTGTTATAACCTTTTAGCTGTTGCTTTAGGTGCTCCGTTTGCTCCGCCATTATGTCGAAGTCTTATTAGTACAGCTGTTATCCGTGGTTCACGTGATGATGGCCAAGCATCCAGTAGTGTTCCTGATTTTAAACGTCTGTCAGAAGATTTGAATTTTGCACCACGAACTTTAACACGTAAGTCATTTATGTAATTAGCTTTTTATTCTGCACTTAAACTTAATGATTATTTGTTTTATGTTCATTGCAATCCATTGTCTTCTGAGATTCTGTGTACAATTAGCTTATATGGGGGGGCGGGGGGGGGAATTAGGTTTTGAACAAGTTATCGAAGTATTTACTCATACCGAATGCTACTTTTCTCACTGCTTCGAATCACAACAGTAATGTATTTACAATTTAACATTGTGCAGTTTACTTATATGTTCATAATCTGTGAAAGCACGTTCAAGAACGTGATTGATTGTATGCTTTTCTTTCCTAACTTTGTAAAATCGTTTGATCTCCATGAATGAACGTGTTTTACTTTGTACTTGTCGTAAAAATAACTGAATTACTGTGTATACTAGAAAATTAATAAAGTCTACGATGTACGAAAACCACCTAAATTATGTAAGTCAATGCATGTTTCCATCGTCTAATTATTATTTCGTCGTACCGTAGATCTAACAGTTAAGCATATTAGAAAAAGGTAGATCAGTGGATAAGTCCGCTGAAGGGAATAATTAGTTGTTTCCTAACTAGGGTCCAGCAAGACTGACGATGAGGTTTATGAAGTTCAAGGTTTTAACAAAATCAGTTGGAATTCATAAGTCGCTTGATAGAACTACATGACTCTATTTCTGAGATTATTAACGCAGTTATCATCTGTTGTACGAGGTTATCGTTTTCGGCTTATTTCACAATTCAGTGTACTGTACTCTTAGTTGATTTTGAACGGTATATTTCATCGAAAACGTATAAGTTTTTCTAAACTGTTACTTAATATCCAATCCGTCATACGATATGTAAAGATGCACAAATAGTATGGTAATATGTTAGTTTGAAAATACACATTTGAATAAGTCATTCAAGAATTTCTATATTTAAATCTAGTTATCATTTCTGAGTTAACTGGTTACTAAAACTAGCATTTAGATTATTGGTACGACTACTTTATAGTACCTACTGTTTCAACCGCTTCTTTTTTGAGATCTCGTGCATTATTTAGTATGTTTTCTGTTTATAAAAAGAGCCATCATATTGCTGTTCCTTCATTCCATCAAACAACTAGTTTACAACACCACCATGACTATTCATGAGGTAATCCGTTTTAGCCTAAATTGTATTGTTAACTCTCTCTACCTCACATTCGATACATTGATACCCACTGTCAATATAATATCTTTTTCACTAAGTGTGTCCCATCCTTGGTTCCTGAGACATTTAGGATTATATTTAGGTGGCTGGTAACTTCGCAAATGACTGTGACCTGCGGCTGATGGCTTCATGAACTGGTGACATATTTTTTGGGCTTCTGAGACTAGAATTTTCTTTGTGACCTAATAGTAATTCGGTCTACGCAGGTACCGTGGGTAACACTATCTTGGTACTTTTTACGTATGTCCCAACTATCTCATTAGGTGAAGAATTTACAGTCCAACTTGCTTTTAATTCACAAACACTGCTTCAAGTTTCAACCTTGTTTTCTCTTTGGGTACACCGTAAGAAAATGAATGCAACTAAGGACATAAAATCCTCTCACTTTTTTGATGTCGGATTAAAGAACTGAAGTAATATCCGTCAAAACTGGTCGCGATATACCAGATAGACTCACTGTCTCTTCCAGACTAATTATCTTATTCCTCTTTATCATTTGCAGTTGTATAGCTCACTTTATTTTGTTGTTTCTTCCATTCACCCTTTTCTTCATCTGTTTTGTGGAAATAGGTTTACACTGCATTGTACATAGCGTTCTGCTTCGCCTTTCAGTCTGCATCATGATAACTAATATGCATTGATGTTATTGGCGTAGTACATCAAACACATACAAGTCGGTCCATTTATTCTTAAAATGTATAGTGTATGTTTTACTAGAAGTCGAACTCATATTTACCGAACTTTGAATGCAATCAACTGTTTGTATAGCACTCAGTTCAAGGTTAAATATTTCTTCCTCCGTTTCCCCTGCAAGCCCAAAATGTTCAGAAACTTACACACTGTTTTAGCACGAAATTGCACACATTTCAGTTAGTATTTATTGTTACAAAGAATGAAAATACGGATGTTTCCATTTACTCGTACACATTTGCCACTAATACAATGCTTAATGTTTTTAAATTTGAAAAACTCAATAATTTTTCAGAAGGCAGGTGCAGTCGTGAACTTACTGAACTTTGCGTAAGGTATTTTCCAGTGTACATAACATGCTAAAAAGTGTTAATATGTCACACTGTCCTATGAAAGATGCTGTAAGTACTGCTAAATGTTTAGTGTTTTCACTCTTACTTGGCTATTAGTAATAGGCACTATGTTGTTATTTAAAATATTCAGTGTACTTTTGATACCTGGATATGGTACTACACTGGTGTTTTTACTAAATACTAAAGTTCCTTATTTAAATGGTATATTATATTGAAGGCGAAAACAAGGCCCGAGCTGGAACACGGTGTTCATTCATCTACAAATTGTGAGTAGCAACAAGTGTTTACTAACAGTGTAGGTGATATTCTGTTGCATGAAGTAATCTCGAATAGTATCTCTGTAGTAGACAATCGACTATAGATTATGTAGTACACTTCTTAAAAGTTTAATTTAATCTTTGAAAAAGGGCTTCCTTCATGTGTCAGATCCTTAGGTCAATGTCTGTTTAAATAGTCACGTATATTATTAAACAGAACATTAATAATAATCTTCCCTTTTTATCTCCCAGTCTTTGTTAATCTTTTCTTTATTAGCTGGAAGTTCTAAAGATTTTCTGGTTCCTAGTGCACCGTGTGTTCCTGAAGTTTATCCACTGGAAACTCTACACAATGATTTAACACTAAGTCAACTGGAGGCATTTTTCGTTCGCTTAACCACCCATAAATTTCCAACTCCATTTACATCTCCCCAACATCCGTCTACTCCTGTCAGTTATTATCATCACCATTCACATCAACATCAATCTCCAGTGAATCTTGATGCCGCTAATCGTTATCAAGATTCGAATACTAGTATTTTGAATGTATTTCCAGCCACTCTTGGAGATGATACGACAACCCAAAGTTGTTCTAATACTGTCGATGAAATTCCACTTGAAACACAACAGAGTACATTGTTAGATGAAACTTTGGATGTCACATCAGCGAAACAGTCTAGTTCAGCTTTTCATCTATTTACCTCGAACACTAAAGCATCATCATCTGTGATGGAAACAGGATATCCAGAAAAAGAGACAGGAGAAAAACCTAAGGTAGTATTTTTTATAGTTCTGCTATAAATTTTTTAACTTTTAGCGTCCATATTCCTGTGACTCACATTTTAAGGGAAGTTTTGTGACTGTTATTAGTAATACGAAACACTTATTGATCATACTACAGAAGTACCTGTCTAGATATGGAAATAAGGACAAATATTTTAGAGATGAGACTCTGGCGATTTTATCCAGTTAGCTGTACCACTGCAACTACATGTAATAATTGTGTATGTGTGTGTGTGTGTGTACATTGAATCTGTCGATGATTAAAAGGGAAATCGATTTGGAATACAGTCTACTTTATCACATTATTTCAGAAAAGTGAAGATATGGCAAAGGTTGTGGAGACAGTTGAGCATAGACTATAGGTTGCGTAATACGATTGAACTTAAGAAAATTAGATGTTAATGAAAAAGTCATTCAGACATTTTGCCAACCGGTTCCTTTCGTCAAATTTGAACACAAAAAGAGCATATTTGCAGGATAATACGAGCTAGTTTTATTTCTTGGATTCTCTTCTAACTGCATACATCCTAAATCATACCAAATTTTGTAACTTTTAATTTCATTTTGTTTAGGATGTGCACGGTTGAAGAGAATCTATGGAGTAAAATTATTATTTATTACTATTGCTCCCTTGGGTTCCTAGTGGAACATAGGGCTTCAACTGCACGTCTCCATTTTCTTCTGTCCTCTGCTGTACTTTTCGCCTGCATCCATGTTAGTCCATGCTGTTTCAACTCCTCTCCACACGATCTCCTCCATGTCACCCTTGCACTGACGTCCCACACGCCGCTTCCCTTTCGGCCTGATTCCACTCGAGCAATGGCTTGACGCGCGATGTCACCCAGCGGTTTCCTCAGCGAGTGTCCGATCCATCTCCACTTTCTCCTGCATATTTGTTGGTTGGCGATTGGTTCTTGTTTTGTTTGTTCCTTCCCATAGTTTCTTGTTGGTGATTCTTTCCGGCCCGGCCCGGCTATCTGATCTTCAGTATAGAGCCAGCGAAGACAGTTGTTAATAAAGGTCTGCAACAGGCTGTTGGTGGAAATATTCTTTGTGAAGTGTGGGAAGACATCATGGGGCATGAAAATGTGTGACTGTTACCTCCATGACCACCTTATAGATCAAAATAGACAAAGAGGATGAATGCATTCTATTCAGACACACTGGTTAGGTTTGTTCTCATTGATTCGCATAAATTCAGTTATGCCTAAGAGGTAGTGTATTCGCGTACCTTTACTCACATTATTTGACTGTTGGTGTTCAGTGTGGACAAAATTAGATGAGGTTGTGGTATTTATTGACATGGTTACTATTTTTCCAAAGCCCAACTGAGAGATGTTTATATGTATGGAGCTGACTTTATCTGAGCATGGTTTGTATTTATCGGTAGCTTATCGTTAATAACAGTCGATCTTGCAATTATGTCCGAAGTAATAATGGATGGGCAAGTTTCTTGGGGTGCATAATTCACGTTTCTCCAAATAATTTTGCTGTCCATAATAATCATATGTAAGTATAGTTGTATAGCTGAGTGGATGAAATTGCCGAAAAGTATTTCTTCTCTCAATTATGCGTTCCTTATTTACACATAAATGACTTCTCATTTATAAACTGGAATAACTGAAGAACACCAAATGCATTTGAATGACATAAGCTCAATCCGCTCACCCTTCATGATCCTGGAACCTATACGATATGTGTTTATTAAAAAAGGAGAGAGGATACGTTTTTCAAATATGCAAAGGGTTGTTATCGTGATTGACAAGTGACATAGATGACGATTGGTGCCAATAATTGAACTAGAAGAACATTAGCAGAATTAGTATGTTTGAAAGGGAAGAAACGAAGAAAAAAATTGCTAAGAATGGTAAACACTTAGCGTAGATTAAGCAACTAGAAAATGTATGGTCAATTTACAACAGTTTAAATGTTAAGTTGGATAACTTTTCAAGTTTATACAATATAATGAGAGGAAGAATATTTTTTATCCACTAGGGTAGTTTAAAGTTCACAACTCACTTTTTGCCTAAATGATATTTTCTGAGCTATTTAATGATTATGTTTATTAATACAGTCTACGTTTTTTCTATATTTGTGCTTCAGTCTCTACTTATGTTTATACTGAATAAATTATAGATCATTGTCACACTCACTATGCAGGTGTAGTTGACTTACTTCAATTAAACAGTCGATCCCTTAAATGAAGTTCAAATAAAGCGATAGGATTGTAAGCCAAACCTGTAGGACACAATACAGGAAGAGAACTCATCATAAGTCAAGAGGCTCTGACCGAAATGAATGACAATGAGAAACTCTTCGCATACTTTTGCGTCTTCAATGATTTGGTGGTCGGAGGCAGCCTATACAAACACAAGGATATACATAAGGCGACATGGATTTTGCCTGATGGACACAAAATCGAGAAGGGAATTAGATGTCGGCTCAGACCATCATCTAGCTCAAGGAACCTTCAAGGTGAGGTTGAAGTCCTTCAGAACAACTGGGGACAGGTTACAATTCAAGTTCAACATTCAGAAATTGAAAGACAAAACTATAAGGGATATCTTCAATACAGATATCAGAGAAAAGTCGGAGATTCTATGTCGCATTACTGAAAAAACCTGTGTGGTAGAACTCTCTGAGGGTGATGATCAAGGAAACATGTACTTCTGTTTTAAGAAGAGAGAAGAGTTAAGACAAAGACAAAAACTTGGAAGCTAATAGTAGGGAGAATGGTGAAACAGAAGATGACTCAATGTGAAGATGGGCAACAACAGAAGAAGCTGAGCCCAATGCAAACCACACTTAATAAAGAAGTGAAGAAGAGTACTAGAAAAACGAAAGAAAATTCTACGATACAGTGGAATCTAAACCAGAACAGACCGCAGGTAAAAGGGACTTCAGAACATCATATCAGATAACTAGGTCTCTATCCGGAAAGAGATCGACCCAGATGATGAAACCAATAAAAGACGTTCAAGGGAACCTGTTTACCATGGAAGAAAAGAAGTAAAACATTGGGCTGATCACTTTAAAGGCTCTACCATCACCTGCAACTCTCCCAGAAATACTACCAACAGCACGCAGAGAACCACCTGCCAGTGGACACCAATCGTCCAATCAAAGCAGAAGTCTTGAATGCAACCAAGCTACTGAAGGCCTGTCGGGAAGGCAGCAGGACCAAAAAGAACTCCCCCTAAAACACTGAAAATGGACCAAGTGACCGCAACAGATATGCTGACGCCATTATTTCAAAGATTTTGGTAGAAAGACTACCTTGTCAATCCACTCAAGAAGGGAAACTGAGGCTTCTACAAGAAGTGGCGCGGAGTTTTGCTTTTATCCAATCTAAGTAAAATACTAAGCGGCATCATCCTAGAGATAATAAAACGTGCACTGGATTCAGTAAAGGCCAATCATGTGGTGATCAAATTCCAACTCTATGCATCGTCATCACAGAACAAAGCATAGAATGGCGATCAAACCTCTTTCTCAATTTGATCGACTTAGAAAAGGTCTTCGACAGCGTTGAATCAGAAGTGATTTGGAAACTGCTTCAACTCCACGGAGTGCCTCAGATCTTTATCAGCCTCATTCAACAGCTATATGACAATGCTGCCACGGGAAACCTCACCGATACCTTTGATGTGAATACGGGAGTAAGACGGGGCCGCCTATTATCACCGATGATAATTCTGATTTCGGAGGACTGGGAGGTCGAGTGAGAAGAGAGTAGTACCCTGGATCGATAAGAGGACTCTAGAAGATATTGACTTCGTGGATGACTTTTGTTTAATGCCACAGAAATTTGAAAACTTACTGGCGAAAGCCAACAAATTAGAAGAACTTGGGAACAAAGAAAGAACCCCAAATCAACCCAGAGACTATGGTGGTAATAATAACAAAACAACCAACAATATCAGGTACCAGTCACTACTAATGGGAGGAATTTGAAGGAAGTTACCTGATTCAATTATCTAGACAGATTCGCCTCGACTACAGGTGGCTGCACAGATAAGTCTGCCTGAGACAGAATTGTATAGTCAAGGTACATCTTCATCACTCTGAAATCGGTTTTTAGGTCTTGCGCACTCAGAATAAAGAAGAAAATTCAGAATTTCAACATCACTGTTAAGTCAGTCCCTCTATTTGGGTCCCTAGCGTCATGGAAACCAGCAGACGACAGGCTTTTATCAATAGGTTCATCTGCTCCATACTGGAAAACCAGATGGCCAGTCGGAAAGAATTAGCAACAAGAAACTCTGGCAACAAACCACCCAAGAACCTACTGCTCAAAAAATATGTAGAAGAAAATGGAGATGAATTAGGCACACTCTGAGGAGGAGGTCGTAGAGTGACATCACTCCAGTGGAAGGTGAATAGGAAACGGCGGTTACATGTTCGAGGGTGTCAAGAAGAAGATCGTGTAGGAAGGAGATGAAAGCGTATTGGCAACGATGGAGCTAACTAAAAAGGATCGCAGGGAACAGGGACAGAATGGAGACGTGCTGTTGAAGCCGTGTGTTCCACTTGAAAGGCAAGGGAATAATAATATAATAACCGTGACCAGACATTACTGCATATTCAGATTAAGCTGATTTGGATTTTCTGTGTGACTTAATAACTACTTAGGAACGAATAACGCATTAATTAATAAACTATGAAGGATACATTCACTCTTACTGGTTAATATATCTCTTTGAAAACCTTAGTCTGTGACAACAAAGAGAAACTACCCCTTAAAAATACATCTTCCGTAGTGAAGAACCTGTCTTTAATAAAGTATCATTTGAAGAGTGATCAAATCCTAAAGTTGGCAGCCCAAAGATTTCGGTCAACTGTTAAGCATACAATTTACGTCGTATCCCTTTTCCCTACCTCTAGACCATTCTCATTTCCTGTGCCTACCAATTAAAGGAGCGTCGGTGGCACAGCGGTTAGGACGCTCGCCGACCATGCACATGGTCCGGGGTTCGATTCCCGGCCGACGGACTCCTTTACCTCGCTTAGTCAGAAATAATGCTGGTAAAGAGGAAAGGTTGGGCATGGGGATAGCAACCCCATCCTGTAAAAGTAAACACTGCTACAGAAACTTCAAGCCAGTTGCTTGAGGCCCTATGTTCCACTGGGAAAGTGAAGGAAAAAACAATTAAAGGAGGAAATTCTACGGATTCTACTCTGCACTATATTTGAAAGTTTCCCTGCATTTGCTGGGACACACAGGGGTAGAATCGATAAAACATTGTAATGTCATCAGGAAGAACACGTTCCTTAGTAGTTATTAAGCTACACAGAAAATCCAAATACACCTAATCTGAATAGAAAACCCGCATCATCTATGTCAAGATATGTATTAATGTCTGGTCATGAAATCAGTCTTAATAACTGTTTCTTAACTGCTGCGCATAACTTTAATTCAAGGTTATTAAAGGTAATAAAGTCACTATAGATTGACTACATATGTGCCAAATTGTGTACACGTAAAAAAACAGACTTCGACCTTTGCTTACTCTGTGTTACTTGACCTAATAAAATACGATTTGTTATTAATATGCATTTTTATTACAATTTACGGATTGATTGTCAAACATTTTATTAGTGTAATGAGATTGTAGAACAACTACAAAGCAATGTCGTCTAACACATTATGTTGTTTAGTTTGAATAGAAATGCTATCTATCTCCACTATGTCACCCCATCGATAACATTCAGTTTGGTAACCAGTGTATTCAAAAATAGGGAGAGAGTGTATGTCGTAATATGTGTTTGCTTGTATATGTATACATTTTTAGAGGTGAATCTTAGCTGTCAATTCTCTAATTGGGTATTAAAAGGAATTCATTAAAAACTATGCTTACTATAACTACGACAGTACTATAATGCGTTTGAGTGATTTCAATCTGTGTATTTTCGCTTTTATCTAGTGGATTATTTTGTATTAAATATTCGCATATTTGTTTGTTTTCTTTTTCCTTTCAGCCTAATCTTCCATCTAGAGATAATTAAGGGTTAAGGTTCGCTATGACTTCTTCCACATGTACATGAATTCAACACTGAATATCGAATCTACAATACCTTTTTTTTAAACATGTTGTGTACTTCTTTTGGAATACTACTCGATTTACTGAAACACTAATAATTACCTGAGATCTTACATATTTTCTAACTTATTTCTAATTTGTTTTTGTACACAGCTATTTTTTTTTCCTGATTTATTGTATGACGACTGTAATTTGTTAGTGTATAGTTCTTAATAAAATACCATTCAGTACTTCAATGAAGTGACTGGTTTGTAATCGCTGACTGTTTTTAATTTAAATACAAAACCGTTGGGGACTGTGTATATGTGTTGGTGCGCATAATGAATCCTTGTGTCAGGTTAGTTTTAATAGTATTGCCTATTTAAAAGGGCAATTAACTTGGGAGTGTTTCGATCAGATAACTCTAAAGGGAGTTATCTCATCATGGGAAGTTGAGAATTTTAGTTTCGCTTCAAAAAACGTTTACTTCACGTGCCATTATTGATCCTGTATTCGCTGTAGCTTTTTTCTCTGTTCCAAATTATGCCAGAAAGATACACATCAGATAAAAGCCTTAAAGAAAAGATGGAAACTGAATATCACTAAAACTCCTACGCTCACATTAAACAAGAAGTAACAAAAAGGAAGAAAAAATAAGATGTTAGCATGTGTGAAACGGATAGCCATAAGACGAAAATAGAAAGCAAGTGAGGAAACGTTTTACTAGGAATATAAAAAAAATTATAAAGTATGGACGCACTTGCACTTCTTTTTGGCTGTATAATTCTATTTCAAAAGCTCCCGGTGAAACAACGACGGATACTTTGTATGATCAAGAGTACCAGTATTCTGTCTTGGTTTGGCTTACCTAGTTATGGCTAGTAAGCGTGTATGACACATCTCAGGCTATGACGATCTTATCTTAGAGTTCACTCTTAACGTGGCATTCTCTGAAATTAGTGGTGCCTAAATGCTTGAGACTATTACACTTATCAACCTACACAGTGACCAATTTTCCCAATACAAAATTTTTTGCAGTAAACTCTGCAATTATAGTAGATAGTATACATCAGTAGGTTCACTTGAGCATTAGCCATCTATCTTTTGTATCTGTGTCAGAATTTCGTTTAATATCAGACTGTTATCCTTCCTGTTGCTACCCAGGGGACTGGAACTATTAATAAACTGAGACGAACGGCTTATATTCCAAAACAGTTACATATAAGTGATTAATACATTCAGAACAACACATTTAAGCGAACAGTATTGTTTTCAATTAGATCTCATCAGGCTTAACTCTAATATACATATGTTTACAAATAAAAATTCAAATATAGACCAATCATAGTGTTTTGTCTATAGGATAATACGATGGTGAATATAAATTGTGCAATTAGTCATAATAGTAGTAATGATAATAGTAATAATAATGGTCTTATCAATAATAAGGATGAAAAGGTGAGGCGATTTGTGATAACACGAACAATGAAAAACAGTATGATTAAACAAACAATTGTTCAGGTGGAAGTAGTCGATACAGTCTAGTAAAAACAAATGAACCGATTAAGTAATGTTAGATTGATTGTAAGGGAAGGAAATGAGACACGTTTATAATGAAGATAAGATTAAGGGATGACAAGAAAAGGGTTGGTGTAGAAGTCTTTAGTTGGTTATGTCTTATCAGGCCAAGGCAGGTATAATGGCTGTACGAACTTCTTTTGAATGCATAGTTTAGGTTTAATAGTTCGAATGCCTATCGCCTCAGCTGTGTGCAGTAGACGAATACGCAGTCTATTAGAAAGATTCGGTGGGATACGATGAATTACTTTGAAGGCTCTCGTTTTCTCTACTACATGACCACTATCAATTAAATGTGACAGAATTGAGCTACGGAGTGTTTTCGTCTGTCCTTTGCCAAACCATGATGGGAGGTGTTCACTAACACGTTGGCTAAGCTGTCTAATAGTACGCCCAACATAACTGTCACCGCCGGTGCAGTTGAATTGATAAAAACACATAGATGTGGCAAAACTATCAAGCTTATCTTTCGTTTGCGTCCGAATCATTCGTCGGCTAGAGAATGACAAACATAGGTGTGCTGCGTAAAATTATTGATAAGACCATTATTATTACTATTATCATTACTACTATTATGACTAATTGCACAATTTATATTCACCATCGTATTATCCTATAGACAAAACACTATGATTGGTCTATATTTGAATTTTTATTTGTAAACATATGTATATTAGAGTTAAGCCTGATGAGATCTAATTGAAAACAATACTGTTCGCTTAAATGTGTTGTTCTAAATTTTACTATGGGAATATTTAATATAATAATACATTCGACCATCATAAGGTGTCCAAATGATTTTTACCATCTTGTTGTTTCAACTCAACGGGACTATTTATTTAGAGCGAACAATTGTTTTCAATAAATTCTTCTTCAGGCTCTACGATTATAAATCCATTAATGTAAGCATACAATAGCCAGTAAAGGCGAATTAGAATCATATCAGAAAGTGTATTGTGGAACAAGTATAAGGTGGGATGAAACAATAGTCATATAGTTTTTTAATATGCATGGTCAATAACAACATGGGACAGAATGAGATGAAATAATTTAATTTAATGATGTGTGTATATATATAAATATAGTTAACAGAAAATACAGGTTTCAAGAGTGAGTGTAATCAGGGTGTGTGAGGCAATATGAAAATAAACCAACGAATGGGGCGGTCTAGACTTAAGTTCAAGGTTGAAAATAACAACAATAAGAATGAATTGAATTCTTGATTTTCCCGTCGATTGATTGGACCGAAGTGCACGGTCTCAGGTTGACATGTCGGCTTCTTGTGCAGATGCTTCGACGATGTCTGGGGATTTGATTTGTATACAATTGGTGGATGGTGGCTAGCAGTGGAATCAATAATTAATATGACCCGTTGCACAAGAGGTGGCTCTCGTGGCCCAAGTGGTCTAGTGGATAACGCTTTGGCGTTTGAAACTATGGGCACTGGGTTCGAGCCTCGGTGGGAAGATCATCACTCACTGGCTGGAGAATGCAGGTACATCCAGATGACGAGTCCCAAATACGACGAAATGTGCATCCTGGATTCCACCATCCACCAATTGTAAACAATAAGAATGATTGTAAAATAATAACGATGATATGGTGTAAAATTAAATGTACTATTGGTGAATGATTGTCAAATAATAATAATGAATATAATGAAGTGGAATGAACAGGATTTTGTAAATACGATAGTAAGTTAGAAAAGCACTATTTAAACCTAAGGTAATAAAATCATAAGAAAGGTCATGAAATCATAAAAGTCGAAAATGAACGTTTGTCAATGAAACAGAGGAATAGAAGAAGGAAAAGAAAAGAAAATCGCGAAAGGAATTTATAGTGTTAATGGAGGATATGTTGGCTTTATTGTAGGCCAAGGTAAACATGGAGGTTGAACATACTTCTTCTGTATGCAGAGGGATGGTCTTCTGGTATTAATTGCAACTGCTTCAGCTACTGATAGAAGACGTAGTCGAGCTCCTCTAGATAAATTACTAGGAACGCGGTAAATAACTGAGAACGCTTGGTCAAGTTTTATCGGGTGTCCAGTATCTACCAAGTGGGCTAAGACTGCACTGCATTCGTAGATTCTAAGTCAGTTAACGCCAGACAGGATGGTGCAAACTGTCATAAGCACATTTATTATGAAGTCGAGTAAAAATCGAATGAGTCAGTATTTTAGGTAGGCAACACTCCAAGTAGATATTTCAGTGTATATCTAACTTAACTACATCTAGATCTTGTGGTAACTAGGTGTACTTGATATATGTCGTTTTCACTGAAATTCTATGTCATAAAACTCTATACAGTGCCACAACTATATAATGAGTCAAACGAAACGTCATGCAACATATCTACCCTTTTACATATGTGAATTTCCTTCTAGTCAGAAATAGTGTGACTTAATACATGTGAAATATTTCTATGATTGCATTTAGGTGTTCCCACAGCACAAACTTCTAAATGTGGTGCGAGTTTTTCGAAAACGTGATGCTACAAGTACAACCGTCTATTCCATTCGCTATTCTTAACATAGTGGTTGTTGTAGATTACTCATGCGTTATCAAACTGTACATTAAAAAATGCCAATCTCAGAAAATGTTGGAATTTCAGATTAACAGGTGTTTTTTTATTCCTTTACGTTCCCAGTGGAACATTGGGCTTCCAGTTAAAGGCTGTAAGTTTCAGTAGCACTGGTGTTTATTTTCACGGGATGGAGTTGCTAGCCTCGTGCTCAAGCTTCTCTCTTTACCAACCTTATCGAGGTGAAGGAGTGTGTTGGCTGGGGATCGAATCCCGAACCACATGCGTGGTTGGCGAGCATTCCACCGCTGTGTCACCGACGCATATATTAACAGTTTGAAACAGACTTTTGTTTTCTACAAGTGATTTCAGCATAAAGTCATCTTCTTCATTCAATTTGGAAATTGTATTATCATATGCATAAAAGTTATGTATTTTTATGTAAGTATTATCTTCCTGCTGTCATTCTCCAGGCTTCTCGTTTTTTCAACAGTTCTGCATAGAACAGCTATATTTGAATGTTCCATTTTCCCCCTGCATTCCTTTTTTGTTGCTTAAGTCACTATCAACCAGATGTCTTCGATAAAGAAAATCTGAACAGCTAATGGTGAACTGATAATAATAATAATAATAACTTCAGTTTGAATGTATCCTAGTAAAACTATTCTTAACAGCATTACAGTCATCATGTCAACCAGTGTTTCTGACTACTCATCGTTGATCAGTATTCTCTTACCTACAAGGAATAAACTTTTCAGCTCGTATAAATAAAGCTTGTCTGTGCATCCAGTTCGTCTCAAATAGAAACTATGAAATGATAATTCAATAAAGACTTTAAACCTACTCTCTAACAGCTAACCAAGTACAGTTCATTGTGGAACTTAT